TTAATTCCTGACAAAATTTACTTTCTTATTGTGTTTCACTGTGATGTAGATTGTTGCCTGTGGTTTGTTGATGTTGAAATGGATTATTGTTTAGATAAACAATCTATAGAGTTTGGAACGTGGTCGGTCATAAATAGAACAACAGCCATAGCTTGTCAATTTCACGTCCATTGGAAGTAATATCATGTCGTTTAGTTGTGTACAGGGATAATATTTTAAAACATTTAAGCAACGGACTACCGGGTATTAAAATTTACTCGCATAGAGAAATTTAGAAAAATAGAACTATTGTCTTAAAAACATTAATTTCAAAATAGTTTAACTGTCAATTTCGCTATTTCCATCAAGGACGGTGATAACCCGCCATTCTGCGTCAGTATCATGATGGCTTCAGTGATCAGGCTGTGACATTCATAGCTCTTTAGAATGCCACTTCAGTTTGGTTTTTTGGTGTGTCTGTTTGGCATTATTAATAGATAGGTTCGAATTGACAAGAGTAAAACAACTCACAGAGCGCAAGTCGATCAATAGATATACGTTTGTCGTTTGGTTAGTAACGTATGTTATGTGGCGCGTTCGATAGCACAGTGTCCATGTGGCGCGTTCGATTGGACCGTGTCCATATATAGATAATTTAGTTATGTCACGGAAATCACACAGTATGTAAACATGAGATTTTTAAATTATCAAAATCGATCACACTGAACATCTCAAGTAGTGTTCTTATTATAATTGGTCTTATTCAAGGCAATGGATGGATTGATTCTTATCAAAGCTTTCAAACATTTGAAAATCTTGAAAATAAAAATTACATGGTCGTAACAAATGTAATTGCAGGCATTATATAAGAGACAATATAGCTAAATATGGCTGCCAATCACATGAAATCATCAAATGGTTTAATCACATCAACATCGCGTCGTCAGTACCACGCTTCACATAAGATAATTGTGTGGTGTTAGCCTAGTTAGAGCTAGCTATAAGGAACCTCTTACTTCTACATATGATTCCCGACAATACCTCTTGTCAAACTAATCCAACTAGAATCACGTTCTCACTCATTAATCGACTTTCATTGTTTACTGTACAATATTACATATTGTTACGTATTGAAAACATTTATTTATTTTGAAATGATTTGTACGTGTGTTGGTATAATTATCTAACATCAGAACACATTAGCTTATTAATTCATTGGGATATAATTCAAAGTGTTGTCCGTTTAAGATAGAATGCTTTATTGCATGAATTGTATTTATGACACCCCCCCACCCCCCACCCCCTCTCTCTCTCTTTCTCTCTCTCCCTCTCTCTCTCTCTTTCTCTCTCCGTGTAGTTATGTACTTGCCATGTCTGTTGTCTTGTGACATTGCCAAACTTCATGTGGTTTAACATAAGTTGTAAAACTTATGCCCAGTCCCATTGTATTTGTTACAATAAAATATGTTTCAATTATTTCAATGGACAAACTGGTCCCGCGATGGACTTGCTCAGAACACCTTATCTACGTCGTATTTATCTGTTCTGAGTACACGGGATACATTTCTCGTGCTACACTATAAGGTAACACATATCACTCTACCTAGCCGTATGAAGTATCTTCAGTAGGTTAATTCATTGATTTGTCTGAGTTCTTTGTTTGGTTGTGTGTCAAAGTTGCCCCTAACCGTAAACTTTGGTCACAGCACAATCCCTCATTATACATATAATAATTGTCAGGGCATTTGATGAATACAACGCTTGGTTCAAATTCCTCTCGGTCACGTGCTTTTACAAATGAAATCAAGAGATAATAAAATAATTTACAAGAAAATCTTAGATCTGGCTTCCCTTGTTCAAAGAAAACAATCCGAATCAAGCGTATTTCGTCACATTCTGATGGCAGTTTAATGGTGTGACTTTGTCAGTCTGTCAGACCCGTGATATTGTCAGTCTGTCGGACCCGTGACATTGCCAGTCTGTTAGACCCGTGACATTGCCAGTCTGTTAGACCCGTGACATTGCCAGTCTGTCGGACCCGTGACATTGCCAGTCTGTTAGACCCGTGACATTGCCAGTCTGTTAGACCCGTGACATTGCCAGTCTGTCGGACCCGTGACATTGCCAGTCTGTCAGTCTGTCAGACCCGTGACATTGTCAGTCTGTTAGACCCGTGACATTGTCAGTCTGTCAGACCCGTGACATTGCCAGTCTGTCGGACCCGTGACATTGCCAGTCTGTTAGACCCGAGACATGGCCAATCCGTCAGACCCGTGACATTGTCAGTCTGTCGGACCCGTGACATTGCCAGTCTGTTAGACCCGTGACATTGCCAGTCTGTCGGACCCGTGACATTGCCAGTCAGTCAGACCCGTGACATTGCCAGTATGTCAGACCCGTGACATTATCAGTCTGTTAGACCCGTGACATTGTCAGTCTGTTAGACCCGTGACATTGCCAGTCTGTTAGACCCGTGACATTGCCAGTCTGTTAGACCCGTGACATTGCCAGTCTGTTAGACCCGTGACATTGCCAGTCTGTCGGACCCCTGACATTGCCAGTCTGCTAGACCCGAGACATGGCCAATCCGTCAGACCCGTGACATTGTCAGTCTGTCGGACCCGTGACATTGCCAGTCTGTCAGACCCGTGACATGGCCAATCCGTCAGACCCGTGACATTGTCAGTCTGTCGGACCCGTGACATTGCCAGTCTGTCAGACCCGTGACATGGCCAATCCGTCAGACCCGTGACATTGTCAGTCTGTCGGACCCGTGACTGTCGGACCCGTGACATTGCCAGTCTGTCAGACCCGTGACATTGCCAGTCTGTCAGACCCGTGACATTGCCAGTCTGTTAGACCCGTGACATTGTCAGTCTGTCGGACCCGTGACATTGCCAGTCTGTCAGACCCGTGACATGGCCAATCCGTCAGACCCGTGACATTGTCAGTCTGTCGGACCCGTGACATTGCCAGTCTGTCAGACCCGTGACATTGCCAGTCTGTTAGACCCGTGACATTACCAGTCTGTTAGACCCGTGACATTGTCAGTCTGTCAGACCCACCAAACACAGAACGTTGTATTAATGTTTGCGATGACCTAAACTGCTTCTAAAACCTTTAAGTCCCGTCATTATAGCTGTCTGTATCCCGTGTTGTGTTTAATGTTATTACTGCTGTACTGCTTTTATTTGTATTCCCTATCCTGCCTTGTCGTCTCTTTTAGAGGTCCGGCTAACTCTTGAGATTGGATGAAGTTAGGATTGGACCATAAGAATAATGAAAGACAATATTACTTTTTGTTTTGTAAATGGAAGTAAGTTATATATTAGTAACACCTAATAACGGTAAAAAGGTTTTCGGAAAGTAGCGACACAAACGTTTTTCGGAAAGTAGCGACACAAAGGTTTTCGGAAAGTAGCGACACAAAGGTTTCGGAAAGTAGCGACACAAAGGTTTTCGGGAAGTAGCAACACAAAGGTTTTTTCGGAAAGTATCGACACAAAGGTTTTTCGAAAAGTAGCAACATGAAGGTTTTCGGAAAGTATCGACACAAAGGTTTTCGGAAAGTAGCGACACAAAGGTTTTCGGAAAGTAGTATCGACACTAAGGTTTTTCGGAAAGTAGCGACACAAAGGTTTTCGGAAAGTAGCGACACAAAGGTTTTCGGAAAGATCCGACACAAAGGTGTTCGGAAAGTAGCGACACAAAGGTTTCGGAAAGTAGCGACATAAAGATTTTTCGGAAAGTAGCGACACAAAGATTTTCGGAAAGTAGTGACACAAAGGTTTTCGGAAAGTAGCGACACAAAGGTTTTTCGGAAAGTACCGACACTAAGGTTTTTCGGAAAGTAGCGACACAAAGGTTTTCGGATGGTAGCGACACAAAGGTTTTCGGAAGGTAGCGACACAATGGTTTTCGGAAAGTAGCAACAGCCGTGGAAACCATACTTTCGGTTATTCTTGTCGCACGGATGGAAGAAGCATTACTTCGTCATAAAAGGGAGGATAATATACTACCTAGAAAATTGATGACGTCAGGCGGACGACCTCATCTGCGGTTACGATCTGTAGGGAAGGAAGAGCTTTCCTCGTTTTCTAATTATGAAACCGATTTTTTACCAGTTTGTAATTATAGTGTACCATCCTTTCTTTGTACGTGTTTCTCCGTTGAACATTTTAAACGCAACAGACAAAAGCGACGAAGAGTTCTAAAGGTTCGGCACATCACACGTGTATCAGTCACACTAGCAGTCCAGGAGCGTGGTTTTGGTGCCAAGGTGTGAGGCAGGCCCCACTGGTTCTTGTATATCAGTACAACGGACAACTCTATGGTTTAGTGGTATTTTGTAAAAAGTACAGAGGAGGCCCTTTTGTCGTCGTCTCGCTCTTTGTCCTTAAATTATAGTACACCTCAGTCTAAATCAATTGATTTATTATAATTCAAAGTGTATATATTAAACAGCACCGCGATCAGTTGGATAATGTACAAATATTATAGTAATAATGCGAGGTACACACAGGAACTCCCAATTCTATGACGTGTGTTTTGTTAAACGATTACCATTTCCTTCAATGTGGACCCATTATAATGAGTTTATATGGGCTTTCATAAAACATTTATAGACATATCGCTCGCTTTTATTTCGCTGTGCGGCTTTTGTAGTTATTTAGTTTTCCTTTGTGGTCGATAGTATTTGGGCTGTCCGAGAATTAATGTGTATTAGCTACTACCTGACTATTAAAAGCATTATTGCCCTCTATAACAGAGTATTGGATCAATTTTCCCCAAATGGGCCTCATACTTTATAAATTTACACTGTAATATTGTCGCTCGTTGGTAACATAGTACAGTTATAGCTTGTCATCGTCTCTCCTCACATCGGAACCTCCACCGACAGATGGCGCCCGTGTGATCCAGACTGGTGATTCTTATACGTCTGATACCACAGGAGTAAAAACCTGTACTTATCGACATCTTTGTTTTACGGATAACTGTTGTTTCCCGTCTATTGTCTTGTGTGTAAGGTTTTCAGTGCTGTATACAATGTCGATAGAAGCGACAAGGATTTCACACGAAAAGCTTAACAGGTGAGAAATGTTTCAAATAGTTTTGTTGTCCGAGATGATGCAATTAAACTCTTGAAATTAATAAAAAGGATTTATTAAGGATAACGGGTTTTTATCCTAAGGTATTACTGTCAGATCACGAGTCGCCACGTTAAACAATCTTATTTGATATATAACTCCTGACAACTATTCGGTGAACAGTGTATATGTTGCGAGTATTTTTTAAAAAAGTTTTTGACGTAATCCGCTCACGGAGTATAGATTAAATGTCTACGACCCGGATATTTCATGGGATTTCACGGGGTTTATACACCACATTTATAGTGATTTGTGATCTATATGTTGACATTGATGTCCGCGCTGTTTTCGGCATTTTTTTTACATGACCGAAATATCGATATCGACTGTTAACTGTCTAAACCGGAAGTGACTATTACCTGAATAAACACGAAGTGACTGATACCCGAATAAACCGGAAGTGACTGATACCTGAATAAACCGGAAGTGACTAATACCTGAATAAACACGAAGTGACTGATACCTGAATAAACACGAAGTGACTGATACCTGAATAAACACGAAGTGACTGATACCTGAATAAACCGGAAGTGACTGATACCTGAATAAACACGAAGTGAATGATACCTGAATAAACCGGAAGTGACTAATACCTGAATAAACACGAAGTGACTGGTAAATGAATAAACATGAAGTGACTGATACCTGAACAGACCGGAAGTGACTGATACCTGAATAAACCGGAAATGACTGATACCTGAATAGACTGAACAAAGCTGAACTGAATGATATAAACCGGGTTTGAAAACAAAAGGCAAAACAAAATATCATCTTGTTAAATGATTATAGTAGAGCACTTTCTAAACCGGATCTAAGTATAACCTGTCTTTGCCGAATAAAGTTGAACCTGTTTAATCCGGATTCATTAAAATCCATCTTTAACGAATGTTGCTCAAACCTATTTACATTTGATATGATTGAAGCATTTGTCAGGAGCTTCGCAGAATAGTTTGTATTTTAACATGAGTACATTTAGTTGCGTTTGTAGCATACTTCTACCAGAAATGTAATATTTTTACTCCATAACTCAGACTGGCATTGCGATACAGTGATTGGCTGTTGTAACACATACACTCATGATTATAGATTTTGTAATGGTATTTTGTAGTTTACATTTTGACAATCATTCACAGGTGGAAATGTAGATATGCTGGTGTGACCTCTATTAGCCCCGTCACTAGTATTAGTTTGTACATATAATGAATTATACACCGTGAGAATGAGAAGGGAGACAACAAAAACTGAAGTATTTTATAGCTCTGTCCAATCAACCGTGAACGGGTTAACATGTAAACACGTGGCCGGCCTTATCAGATGTCAGTGTGGCCATGCCAGAACAATGGCGAGTGACATCAGAGTACAGACATCTAATTGATTTGGATAACGTACGTGTCACGTCGTTAATCATTCAAGGTAAAATCGAAGGAATGAATTGGCAAATTACAAGTTTGATTCAAACAGGGTAAAATTTCTATTAACACTCTCTGTGTGAGAGAAGATCACACGTTATAGATAAGAGCCGATTTTCCATAACATCTGTCAGTTTAAATAGAAGCGACATTAAAAATTTGAACTCGAAAAATTTGGTCTTTAATTTCAACTAGGGGGAAATAATAGTAACGATATAACGGAATGGTTTCTGGTCTTTTGTCCACATGGGATAACTGTTCATTGTCTCGTGCGTGGTTTTAAATAGCACACAGGTACACACGTTAAAGAGTAGCACTCCAAGTGACAGACTTATTTCATATATATTATATAGCCAGACAAGGATCACTTATCGATCAGTGTTAATCAGTTGATTTACCGCCAGAAGTGTCACCGAACACCACGACAAATGACCGACATTGTCACACCAAACACCCACAGAGTCGGCAACCCGACACCGCCTCCAAACAATCGCCGTCAACTAATAACATACACAGATCTAATTAGCTCACACTTCGGTGGCGAATTCGGAAAAAGAACTAAAGACCATTCTGAACTAGACGGAAAAAATTGTCTTCGATCCGATTATGACGTCATATATGTTATGACGTCATAGATGTTGCTTGTGTGAAGATTCACACCACGATTAACTGTTTCTACGGGCTGTTGTTACGCAATGGCATACGAAGACTTCAGCAACAACAGCCATTTTGGTGTGTAAGTACAACTACATTACAGGTCACAGTCGCCTGCTTCTGTCCTGTGATCGCACGTGCGTTGATGCACAAGAATTTCGGGACTTGTGGGTTGTCCCGTGAAGAGGTTCTGATAGGAAGTTGTAGGGAGGAGAATGAGAGACGGATTATTTGTGTAGCTTGTCGTCGAGAATATTTTGTCACACGATCTCTGTATGTATGCTGTTCATTACGAGGTATCGGCGCCTGTATTGCTATGCTTACGCAACAGATGTTTTGTGATTGAAGAAGAGGGACCGTTCACGGAACCAAAGATGCAATAGAAGGAAATATTGATGGCTTAATTGAGTTAAATATCTTTGATATTTGGCTTATTTTGGCGGGAACGACACTGAACTTTAGTTTTATTTGGTTACCGTGTGTGTTCAGGGCAAGGGAACACCCAATAGTGAAATTGAGAGAAACGGGTCGGGTGACTACATTTCAATGTCACGCTAATTCTGTCACTGTTTTTTTGTCAACCCCGTGAACAACCGTGGTATTTTTGTAGTAACTGGTGATTACTTCACTGAACAACACATACGGAAGGCTTGTCACAAATCCTGAATAATTAGGGTAAAGTGATTTGCGGAAGGATACAACCACGGTATCATAGACTGGCTTGTTTCTCAGCTTCCCGAGAAACATAAGCTGGCACGGATAGGGTGCGGACCGGTCACTAACGTTACCAGTTGTCAGAAAAGATATGTAATGAAACAGACAACTCGGTCTCTGTTTTTATTCGTCAAAGCTTAAGTTGAAACGATCAATATATGTTTGTTTTCTCTTTTTCCAGGATGACCTTTTGGTCGAGGCATGACCCAATTAAACAACAGAAAGGTCATACTGACCATTGGTCAAAAGCCAGACAGAAGGTAAGTAACTACCGCCGTCTTTTAAAAATTTAAAACCAAATATAAATGTTTCAAAACGTTCAATAATGCAACAGTTTTGGGTGGAAACATGTCAAGCAGTACACAGGGCAGTCTACATACCAACACAATACACACGCGCCGGTTGTTGTCCTTGTATGTTGTCAGCGCTTTTCTATTGTCTACATACAATGCTATCAAATTATAATTCCATATTAACTGGTTATCGATTATGTTCTTATCATCTCGGATGACTGTCACCGTGACTGAATTTCAACAGGCGATGATTTTTAAGGTTATTTCATTGCCGCGATCGACACTTTAACATTATCGATCGGTTTCATGCACAGTCTATTGTCTGTATGTTGAAGTTCATTGTCTGTGTATATTTTACTGTCACGGTAGATATCAGGTTGGTTGGTCGAAATTTGATGTCACGGTAGATATAAGGTTTGTTGGTAGGAATTTGATGTCACGGTAGATATAAGGTTGGTTGGTAGAAATTTGATGTCACGGTAGATATAAGGTTGGTTGGTAGAAATTTGATGTCGCGGTAGATATAAGGTTGGTTGGTCGAAATTTGATGTCACGGTAGATATAAGGTTGGTTGGTAGGAATTTGATGTCACAGTAGATAAATGGTTGGTTTGTAGGAATTTGATGTCACGGTAGATATAAGGTTGGTTGGTAGAAATTTGATGTCACAGTAGATATCAGGTTGGTTGGTCGAAATTTGATGTCACGGTAGATATAAGGTTGGTTGGTAGAAATTTAATGTCACGGTAGATGTAAGGTTGGTTGGTAGAAATTTGATGTCACGGTAGATGTAAGGTTGGTTGGTTGAAATTTGATGTCACGGTAGATATATGGTTTTTTGGTTGAAATTTGATGTCACGGTAGATATAAGGTTGGTTGGTAGGAATTTGATTTCATGGTAGATATAAGGTTGGTTGGTAGGAATTTGATGTCACAGTAGATATATGGTTGGTTGGTAGGAATTTGATGTCACAGTAGTTATATGGTTGGTTGGTAGGAATTTGATGTCACAGTAGTTATATGGTTGGTTGGTAGGAATTTGATGTCACGGTAGATATCAGGTTGGTTGGTAGAAATTTAGTGTCACGGTAGATATATGGTTGGTTGGTAGGAATTTGATGTCACAGTAGTTATATGGTTGGTTGGTAGGAATTTGATGTCACGGTAGATATCAGGTTGGTTGGTAGAAATTTAGTGTCACGGTAGATATATGGCTGGTTGGTAGGAATTTGATGTCACGGTAAATATATGTTTTTTTGGTTGAAATTTGATGAAACGGTAGATCTATGGTTGATTGGTAGAAATTTGATGTCACGGTAGATGTATGTGGTTGGTTTTGATGTTGGTAGATCTATGGTTGATTGGTAGAAATTTGATGTCACGGTAGATGTAAGGTTGGTTGGTTGAAATTTGATGTCACAGTAGATATAAAGTTGGTTGGTAGGAATTTGATGTCACGGTAGATATAAGGTTGGTTGGTAGGAATTTGATGTCACAGTAGATATATGGTTGGTTGGTAGGAATTTGATGTCACAGTAGATATATGGTTGGTAGGTAGGAATTTGATGTCACAGTAGTTATATGGTTGATTGGTAGAAATTTGATGTCACGGTAGATATATGGTTGGTTGGTAGGAATTTGATGTCACGGTAGATATCAGGTTGGTTGGTAGGAATTTGATGTCACGGTAGATATAAGGTTGACGGTACAGTGTCAGGAGGCAATATTTGTGATACTTCTCGGTGTTTTTATCACTTGCCAACATCAGAATAATGATTATATTTTATAATAAATCTTGGTACGCCGATCATAGGAACGTTTCAAGTACAATAGAACAATTTGGAGCTGAAGAGTCAATAACGCACCAAGGTCGCCCCTTATCCCTATCAGTGGAATTTTGGAATACTTTATTGATCTGAGAATGAAGATTTCCAAGTAATCTCGAGGGGTGGGTATGATGGGGATGATAGTGATGACACGAGCTTTCTTCAATACATAAGTATTATCCAATAATTGATACGACACTCTGGTGTGAACGGCGATATTTTACAGTATAATGAACACGGCGGTTAAATAGACCAACCGAAACTACTTGGATTGTCGTAAAATACTTCATTATTTGATACTCTCAGACTTTTTAAAATGAAGACATTGATGGACATTCCATCAAATACATTATCTCCGTGGAATAGCATGGTATGGCTGTGTACAGTGTGGTGTGGTATGTTTCAGTCGAGTGCCTATTCTGTGTCGTACGGAGCCAAGGGGCTACAGATCCGCTCGGACACAAATTTAGGTGAGTACTGGATGTATATATATATATATATATATACCATTGTTATTTGGAACACTTAAAGTTTTATTGAATTCTAGTGAATATTAGACTAAACAATTATATCCACGTCCTTGGATAACCAATCGATGTGTCAGTTTGTAAAGCTTTTAACTTCTACAGGTCCCACTCGACCATTCATTGTTCGTTATTCTAACAAAGCTCACAGAATAATTGCTCATAATGACGATTACACAAAGTTACAGACAAAGCCACGTGATTTACACAGCTTAAACGGACACAAAGCTTACTTTAAATTTGTACATGTATGATAAAACGGTTGGCATGATTTTACAAAGACCAAATCACCATATAGAGCCTCGACACAAGCTGACGTCAGACACACCTGTAGCTAACGAACACCTGGTGTAGTAGGTTTGTCGTTTCCTTCCCAACTTGGCACCAGATCGCCGACGTATGTGATAATATTGGTTATCAATAATCTAAAGCGTCACCCTATAACGAACACTGTGTAGTGTATGTTATGTAAATAATGTCACCGCAATTCTCTGTTGATCTATCCATACAAATTGTTAGGTTTCTATATTGCAGATACATGTGTCCTATTGTAATCAGGTAATCTGTTCGTTCTCTTGTTCTGTTGGCAAATTGGACTCATACGTTTTCCAGGGCTCCTTGGAAGGAAATGTCTTCGTGGAAGTCATTTCTGGGTTGTCCTGAAGTCAAAGGTCAAGGTCACTGTTACTGTTAACAGGAAATCAGTTTCTGCAAATATCATCAGATCTGTTTAGATATTTCTATATGGTTTCTTTACAGGAATGTCAGTTGCTTTTCATGATCAAATGTTAAAGGTCAAGGTCACCATTACTAAAAATAGAAATGTGAATATTCAGCAAAAAATATAACATATCTGAATCTTGATGGTAAATATTTACTTCCAACGTTATGAGGCATAATTGATTGAAATCTAATACGAAGTCACCAGACCCATTGATAAGGTCATCGGGTCGAAGATCAAGGATAATGTTTTACTGGAAAATATTTTCTTTTGATATTAGGAAGCAAAAATAACCTGAATCAAATGAGAAAATGCTATACTAAAGGTGTCAAAGTCACAAGGTCAATGTCAAATTATGAATATTTTAGCGATGAATATATTTTTATGGTATCATGATGCAAAGTTGGTCAGAATCAAACGAAAACTCGAAACTGACTGTTAAGGTCATCGGAACAAATTCACGGATACTTTTTATACCTGTTAATCGCTAAACACTTTGTTATGATATTTGGAAACGTCATAGTTAAACCAGTTATCAACTAACCAAAGCTAAAGGTCATAGGGTCAAAGGTTATGGCCAAAATGTGCATTTATTGCCTGGCAGATATATTGATTATGAAGAAAATTTGTCTGTAAGTCATCATGAAACTGTTATTGTTATAAATTACCGTATAGGGTCAGACACATAATGGGGCCCTTTCTGATGTGTTAGTGTTCTACCTACATGATCTACTGAAGGTTCGATTATAGCTAGGACGTCAAACTGGTCAGTACTGGAAAACAACGAAAAGTACGGGAAATTCAGAGAAAAATAAATAAAAAAATAAAACTTTTAGACATTAAACTTTTAGTCAGTAAAAAAATTAGATTTCGGTATGTCGCTAGCTACAGATCACGTGATCAAGTTACCATTTACATATTTTTGTAAATGATGAAAATCGATCAACCTATAAAGTCGCGAATTTCAATTTAGGAGAAGTGAACTCCGTCACAAAGTGGTCCAAAATCACACTAAAAAACAGCCAATGAAACTGCAGATAGTCATTGTCATATATAAATACATTGCGGGAACATGAAGGAGGCCATCAGCCGACTTGTTCGTCATGTTTTGTCTACTACATATAGTTTGTAGGACAATTTAGAATGGTCAAGCACGCAGCGATTGTAGGGTAACGATCCGTGACCTACCCGAACTTGACATTGTGTTCTTGGTAGCGTCCTTAACTATGTTTATACTTTGTATATTTACTATAAACAAGTTGATAAGAATGGAGATATCTACTCTATAGAATGTCTTGTTACTGTAAGGATACGTGTTTTAGCGGTGTTCTTAGTTTAGAACTAATTTCATTGAAAGTATCATGATAAATATTTGAAAAGCATCTGTACTTTGATTGAACCGTGTATGTTTACAGTGTACGTAAATATGTTTATTTTTGTAATTATTTGTTGTGGCCTGTAGCTGTATGTGTGTCTACTTCCTAACTAACTGTAATATAACTGGACAAGACAGCATGGCGAATAAACCGGAAACTGTATTTCGAATTGTGTGTGTCGCTTACATACATGATAATACATGATGCTTATAACATTGCAAATTACATTACATCTCCCTTTGCTTAATCAAAGAAGATTTAAAGGATATTGTTGCTGAAACTTGAAATAAAAACTTTGAAGTTTCTTTTTTTTTCTCAGTCCTTCTTTAGTACAGTCTTGTTATTAGAATTAATACGAACAGAAAGAAACAACACTTTCAAAATTATCATTAGCACTGTCCTCGCGCTGTAACTGGATACAAAATAAATTTCACAATAGAAACTTTAACAGTTCATAGAATGGTTAATTCCACAGGGAATTGTTAACACATCACAAGTCCAATTTCACAGGCGGTTTGATCCTTCTTCCTGACCTCGTGACAGGTATATCGACTACACTCGGTTCGCTTTTAGGTATAACAGAATGTTTTTGCGGCGAAGCAACAGTCAGTTCGGAGGGTGGCAAGTTTGATTGTTTGCTTTGAGTGGAAGTGTCCAAGTTCATAAAGTCATGATCATTTTCCTCGGTAATGTTGTATCGTAGCGACTCATTTGCATGATCGGTAGACCGTCTCAAGTGTTTACGATTTCTACGGTACAGTTGATCATTAGATTTCACTATGTATGATCTCGGACGCACAGAATGTTCTATAACAGTTGCAGGCTTCCATAGTTTTGTTCCAGGTAACGGAGCCATTCGCACTGGTTCTTGTTTTACCAAGGGAGACAACTCTTTGACTTTGTTGTGCAAATTATAATAAAGTTTTTGCTTTTGTTTCGCTTCCGTGAAGTGACGTTTTATTTCGCGGCGATTGTTCATAGACGGTTCAAGGATCTCGCGTTTAGCAGGTAATTTATTTCTCGGTCTCCTGCCCATGAGTATCTGTGACGGTGATAGATTTATTCCATTAAGTGGTGTGGTTCTATAGTCCAGAAGCGCTAGATAACGATCATCAGCTTTACGCCAGATGCGCTTCACTGTCTGTATAGCACGTTCAGCCTCACCATTTGAACTCTGAAAATGGGGACTGGATGTTATGTGTTCGATTCCATAGTCAGCACAGAATGTTTTGAAGTCAGCTGATGTGAAGTTTGGGCCGTTGTCTGAACGAAGTAATTTCGGGATACCGTGGCACGCAAACACTCGTTTCATAGCACGAATTGTAGCAGAGGCAGTCGCGTCGGGTAATTCCTCGACGTCGACGTACTTTGAATAATAATCCACTAGAATGATATAGTTCTTTCCTTCAAAGTGGAATAAATCACTCCCAACTTCACTGTATGGTAGATCAGGTGTAACGGACGGTCTCAGAGGTTCTGCGGGTTGTTTATTTTGAATCTCAGCACACTTTCCACAGTTCTGAATCATCACCTCGATTTCAGCACTCATACCCGGCCAGTACATGACTTCTCTTGCACGCTGTTTGCACTTAACGATCCCAAGATGCGATTCGTGAATTAGATCGAGCATGTACGAACGCAAACTAGGTGGAATAACAATCCTCATTCCTTTGAAGATAATTCCATCAGATATTGACAGTTGATCACGCGAATCCCAATACGGTTTGACAGCAGTAGGAGTCTCTGTTCGCGAGTCGGGCCATCCGTCAACAATAATCTCATGTAGGGGTTGTAGTTCCGCCTTTGTGCACTGTACAATTTCCACGTATTTGTCCTTGCTAACTGACACAAAGTCCAAAGAACTAACACCTTTCAGGTTGATTTCTGTCTTGTTATCAGGCAAATATGCTCGGGAGAGAGCGTCAGCGACTATTAGGTCCTTCCCGGGCATGTACTTCACGTCCAAATCGTACCATTGGAGTCTCATTAACATGCGTTGTAACCTCATCGGGGCAGATAATAGAGGTTTTCGGAATATCTGTTCCAACGGTTTGTGGTCATTGTACACGGTTACCGTTTTCCCAAATATGTAACAGTGGAATTTTGTGGCAGCATGGACTATCGATAGAAGTTCTTTCTCTATTTGAGCATAACGTTGCTCAGTGTCCGTAAGTGAACGGGACGAGAATGCGATGGCTTGACCATTCTGTATCAAGATTGCACCTAGTCCGTCTTTCGACGCATCACACTGTATTTGAACTGGTTTGTTCACGTCATAAAATGTGAGAACTGGTGACGATGTGCACAAATGTTTAAGAGCTTTGAAGCTGCGTTCTTGCTCCGGACCCCACGTGAATTCAATGTTCGATTTCAACAGTATGCGCAACGGTGCGTCGACTTGACTTAGATTTGGTAAGAACTTAGCTAAATACTGCACTAGACCTAGGAATCTCCTGACTCCTTCCTTGTCACAGGGAGCCGGCATATCCGTAATCGCTCTCACCTTCTCGGGGTCGGCTTCGACACCTTTGTCAGTCAGTATGTGACCAACGTATGACACACGCGTTTTGCGCACACGACACTTGTCAAAGTTTAGCTTGAGATTGTAGCTTGAAGCGCGTTCAACTACTTCACGTAATATGCGGTCATGATGTTGAATGTCAGTTCCGGCGACTAGAATATCATCCATGACTGCGATGGCACCCTCGATGCCTTCCAACATTTCGTCCATGATACGTTGGAATATTTCTGGACTACACTTTAATCCAAACGGTAAGCGTAACCACCTGAACCTTCCTATAGGTGTATTAAATGTTGTCAGGTATGAAGATTTTTCCTCAAGTTTGATCTGTAAGAATCCGGATTTTGCATCCAGCACGGAGAACACTGTGGCATTAGGAATATTAGCTAAAGCGTCATCCATCGTTTTCATGGGATGATGCTCTCGTTTGATAGCCTTATTAAGGTCGCTCGGGTCAATGCAGATGCGAACTTTGTTTTTACGCAACGAAACTACCATCGAGCTTACCCACTCTGTTGGGTGGTCAACACGCTTAATAAACCCATCTTCCTCCATTTCCTTGAGTTTTGCGATAATTTGCGGTTTCAAGGATGCTGGTTGCCTTCTAACAGGGTGTACGACACCTTTGACGTCAGGGTCGACCTTAATGGTATACTCCCCAGGCAGCGTACCGGTAGTTTTAATGATTTCAGGAAACTCATCAAACTGTTTCTCCCCACTGACGTTTGCGATTCTTTCAATCAGACCAAGTTGCTCGGCGACTTTACCGCTAATTACGTTCTCTTGTTCTAGATCAACGATTTCAAAATCTGTTTCAACGTCTTTACCTTTACAAGTCACTGGTAAAGTAACAGTTTTGAGTGGTCGTATTTTGTGATTCGTGTACGACTTAAGTACTTTCGTCGAGTTTCTGACGTTTCCGTGCACTCCGATCCGGTCATATTCCGATTTCACCAGAATACAACATCTAGCTCCCGTGTCGATCCTGCATTTTAGCGTTTTACAGCCAATGCTAATGTCAACTAGCCACTTGTCATCTACACCGCTATCAGTACACTGATGGCTATAAATCTGGAAAAGTTCATCAGTATCTGTATCATAGCTGTCGGACGTCACATTATTTTCAGCACTATTCTGCAGTGTATTAACATGAGAGAGTTCAGATTTAAGTCTCTTGCGACATGCGACTTTCCAGTGATCACGTCCACGACAGTAATTACAGGTGCTTCCTATCGCTGGACATACACCATTTTTGTGTCCGGTTGTGACGTCACGCGCACATCTTGTACACTTGTCACCACTGATAAACTTTTTGGATTTCCCCGCAAACTCGGATTTTGACGCTACTTTCACTTTAGGTTTACTGTGTACAGGCTTGTGTTTTTGTTTGTTTTTAAACCCAACACTGTTCACTGGTTCCTCACCACGAATCATTTTGAGCTGTTTCTGAGACATTTCAAACTGTCTGCCAATTTCTAGAGCTTTATCGAGAGTTATAGTTTGCCCTTGATCGAACATTTTCTCCTGTACTTTACGATTTGAAACACCATCTATTATCGTGTCGATGAGAATGTCATCCGGGTCTCTATAATCACAATCCATCAATATCAAGCGAACGTCTTTAACAAAATTGTCAAACGACTCACCTTCCGCTTGTTTCCTCTGTTTCAGTCTGAATCGCGCAACACGCTTGTTTTTCCGTGGCCTGACATATGCTTCTAACTTGTTCAAAGTTACCTCGGGTTTATCTTGTTCACCTTCCGCCCAGTCAAAAGTTTTGTAAACTTCGCGACCTTGTCTTCCTATCCACATTCCAATCCATCCGGTTTTGTCCTTGTCATCCGCTTTCGACAACGGACCTTTGAACACAAAGTCCACATGTTGCTTGAAACGCTGGTATTCCTGATATAAATCCTTCGCGTCCCAATCAAAACATGGTTGATCGAATTGAACATGTGACATCGTGAGTTCCGACTTTGATTTCCGTGTCTCACAAAACAGAATGTGCGTTAATGTCAAATAACCACATTAAATATGTAACTGGCGTCCCAATTAGACATTGGATGCTATCGACGGAAATATTTTTACGTACGGCAGGCGATGAGCCCGATGTTCTGACACCATGTAATATAACTGGACAAGACAGCATGGCGAATAAACCGGAAACTGTATTTCGAATTGTGTGTGTCGCTTACATACATGATAATACATGATGCTTATAACATTGCAAATTACATTACACTAACTACCGAGTCTCAATAACTACAAACTATAACCAGACATATTTTGTATATTTCATCCATAGATTTGTACATTTTTTAATCAATGTTTTCTTAATATGCTTTTTGTTGAAATATTTCATTTATGTATCTTCCTTTAATGAGATATGTAGCCGGAAAATGTTTTACAGTGTACGTGTACACTGTATACAGTAAGGAGTGTGAGAGGTATCATACATTGTACGTGTACACTGTATACCGTGGAGAGTGTGAGAGGTATCATACATTGTACGTGTACACTATATACCGTGGAGAGTGTGAGAGGTTTCATACATTGTACGTGTACACTGTATACCGTGGAGAGTGTGAGAGGTATCATACATTGTACGTGTACACTATATATCGTGGAGAGTGTGAGAGGTATCATACATTTTACGTGTACACTATATACCGTGGAGAGTGTGAGAGGTATCATACATTGTACGTGTACACTGTATACCGTGGAGAGTGTGAGAGGTATCATACATTGTACGTGTACACTGTATACCGTGGAGAGTGTGAGAGGTATCATACATTGTACGTGTACACTGTATACCGTGGAGAGTGTGAGAGGTATCATACATTGTACGTGTACACTATATACCGTGGAGAGTGTGAGAGGTGTCATACATTGTACGTGTACACTATATATCGTGGAGAGTGTGAGAAGTATCATACATTGTACGTGTACACTATATACCGTGGAGAGTGTGAGAGGTATCATACATTGTACGTGTACACTGTATACCGTGGAGAGTGTGAGAGGTATCATACATTGTACGTGTACACTATATACCGTGGAGAGTGTGAGAGGTATCATACATTGTACGTGTACACTGTATACCCTGGAGAGTGTGAGAGGTATCATACATTGTACGTGTACACTGTATACCGTGGAGAGAGTGAGAGGTATCATACATTGTACGTGTACACTGTATACCGTGGAGAGTGTGAGAGATATCATACATTGTACGTGTACACCATATACCATGGAGAGTGTGAGAGGTATCATACATTGTACGTGTACACTGTATACCGTGGAGAGTGTGAGAGGTATCATACATTGTACGTGTACACTGTATACCGTGGAGAGTGTGAGAGGTATCATACATTGTACGTGTACACTGTATACCGTAAGGAGTGTGAGAGGTATCATACATTTTACGTGTATCATTTTTGGCATTATCTTTGTAGACTAACTTTTCCACTTAAATATGCAGAAATGCATTTGAAGTAGACTTTGTACTATGTGTTTGCGATGTGTGGTATATTTTTATTTACGTTCTCTCTGTTTAGTGTCTTGTCTTCAGTGTCAGTTTGTGTCCATACTTATTGTAGTAATTGTTTTTATTATAGTTGTTTATTAATTAGTAACTGATTGACATTAAACCTAACCCTCGTGCTCATGAGCTGAAGCTATTAATCCATGTGCTTTCTGCTTCTGTTGAAATTTCGAACCGCTTGAACCGCTCTTGGCTTTGATTTAACCTGCTGTCAGGTTTTCTAGTGACAACTGAAATCTAACACCTTTTGATAGATGTGATAAAAAAGAGAAAAACAAGAACAACAAAGAAAAGCCAAAGCCAACTGCACGTTGTTTTTCAGACTTAGCAACTATAAGGAAAGCTCAGAGTACCAGGGTTAAGTTTGTAAACGACAATGTTACACGATTACCGATGAGGTCTATAGATGATATGATTTTAAATGGCCTAGACGCAGAACTACCAACACCAACTATCAACCAGAGACCCCGGATGAATTTTAGCCGGAAGTCATCAAGAACATCTTTTAACGAGAGAGCCCGGGACGGCTTCCGGTACTGGCTGATAGACCGCCCAAAGCCCACCAAATGTATGTTGTGATCAAGTGCGGGGTAAAATGTTTAAGGGTGAATAAAGTTGGCAAATTATGCGAGTCCAAACGAACTAGCATCTCTGAGTCAAATGTTAGCAGAACTCTATAATCATTTTCTTTGTCAGACGAATTATTGGGAAAATGAGAAAAAGAAAATTAAAAAATCGATGTTCTGTATAAACTTCATTCAGAGATAAATTTTTCATACGATTGGGTTAATTAAAGAGAGAAATTTGTCAGTGTATGGTTTTGATCGCCATATCCTATGTACTGGGTGATATATATATATATAACCACAGGGTTTGAAACTTGCCAGAGATAGTGGCTGACAGGTGCGGCTTTATACAGTATAATACCTGCATGCCCTACACTTTACTCATTAGTCTGGACTATCGTTTTAACTTATTTATTTATCATATTACGAGTATGGTGTCGAAGTTCATGGATATTAAGCCATTATAAGAATGACGGTATAATGTAGGAACATTCTGACTGACGTCACTTCCTGGCCAGTAATGCTATCGTGCACACATTCATTCTCTTTTTTTTTTCCTCACAGTTGGCAAATATGGTATCGGATCGTACAAGACAGTGCTTGGGATCGGCAACGCTCCAAGAACGTAAACAGCGATCTTCTACTGACTCTCGCTGAGAAAAATGTTATATAATTGTCATTATTTAAAAACAATCAACGTTCCCTGATTTCCTCCGGAGTCAACCTTTCTTTGTTTGTCCCCTAATTGTCCGTCCCCCAGGGCCAGCCCCTCATGCAGCGTTTACTCCAGCTTTGTTTAGAAGTGTTTTAAAATTTATTGTTTTACTTATACTTGTATATCCAACAAGCCCTAACTTTAGCTCGTGTTTACCTGAGGACAATTCCTACCGATACAGTATTAAATGTACATAGACACATCGATTTCGCTTTTGTCTTGTGAAATCTGTTTTATTTTTATATGTCCTTTTCTTACACTGTTTGGAATGAAAAAGCACATGTCGAACATTTTATGTATCATCAATTCACAATGGGACTCCTGGGGAAATCTGTTCATCCATACTTCTGTAAACTAAGGGAGGTAACTCTCATATAGCCTCGTTGTTTTACATTCTATATAGTTTATTTGTATATTTTAATTTCTGTTTAAAGATACACATTCAAAAGTATTAAACATTGAATTATTTTAATAAGCGTCCTTTTGTTTGTTCCAAAGTGCTTAACTATTATCAGCTTGATATTGTCTTCAGTACAGAAAGGAAGTTGTTTATTAATCGGAATTTTGGGTATACATATAACATTCAATTTCAGATCGCGTATTCCGATTTCTTTGGCGTCGATCTGACGTCCGTTATAGATAGACTGTCAGGTGAGAACAGCATGTGTTTCGTTGCAGTGGAATCTAAACTCAGTTGATAAACTACTTACATTAGTAAAATGTGACGTGGTCACGTGGTGACGTGTATTGTTCCGCTTCGGGTATGATTCTTGCTACTTATGGATAACACTTAACATGTGGGCGATCCTTCTGGCGTGACCTGGTACTACAGTGTGGTGAATGTTTAACAGTTTTCTTGTTAAAATTTTGACAGACTACAAAGACACCAAGATAAGTAAATTAACTGATACACAAACGTACAAGGTAAGCACGCGCGTATAAGTTTAGTTGAGAGATAATGTAGATTGATATTACTATGTCTATTCCAACCACGTGACAAATCTAACTTCACTTCTCACTTATTTTTGTTGTATTTATACTATATTCAGTGTACACACAAATCATGATTCTGTCTGTATGGCAAGTTCTTCGCACATTTTCGATTCCTTTTAAGTTTGTTTCGTGCATTTTTTCTTCGTCTATTGTAAGACTAGATTTAAAAAAAAATTCCCAGGGATTATATATATATAAGCAGCACTTTCTCATATAAATCCTTTGTTTATTCCAATCCTACATGACTTCTAGTCTATTCCCAACACACACTCTCATTATTTCTTTATCTATTTCCACTTATGGACTTTGTCTATTACTATCGTATAGACACACGTATCTATACATTTTTATTTTGGCATGTACATTATTTTTCAATTAAAATATATCCACATCATATTTGTTCCATTACTTACAATCTTTGTCTTTTTCAATACTTTCTTCGCACGTAAATTCTTTGTCAATAGCCCTTGTCCTACATATCATACCTACGTTTAGTATTTATTTACACTACATGTAAAATATACTAAGAATATCCTAACCTCAATGTTTGCACGTTTAGATTCTATGTCTCTTTAATTCTTTGTACAATGGATAATGTACTAGTTTGTATTAACAGAATCTCCCGTAGTAATGGTCCAGTGTTTGATTGGTTTGTGTAGTTGTAGATCTATGGTGTCCCGTAGTAATGGTCCAGTGTTTGATTGATTTGTGTAGTTGTAGATCTATGGTGTCCCGTAGTAATGGTCCAGTGTTTGATTGGTTTGTGTAGTTGTAGATCTATGGTGTCCCGTAGTAATGGTCCAGTGTTTGATTGATTTGTGTAGTTGTATATCTATAACTCAGTGTCCCGTAGTAATGGTCCAGTGTTTGATTGGTTTGTGTAGTTGTAGATCTATAACTCAGTGTCGCGTAGTAATGGTCCAGTGTTTGATTGGTTTGTGTAGTTGTAGATCTATGGCGTCCCGTAGTAATGGTCCAGTGTTTGATTGGTTTGTGTAGTTGTATATCTATAACTCAGTGTCCCGTAGTAATGGTCCAGTGTTTGATTGGTTTGTGTAGTTGTAGATCTATGGTGTCCCGTAGTAATGGTCCAGTGTTTGATTGGTTTGTGTAGTTGTAGATCTATAACTCAGTGTCCCGTAGTAATGGTCCAGTGTTTGATTGGTTTGTGTAGTTGTAGATCTATGGTGTCCCGTAGTAATGGTCCAGTGTTTGATTGGTTTGTGTAGTTGTAGATCTATGGTGTCCCGTAGTAATGGTCCAGTGTTTGATTGGTTTGTGTAGTTGTAGATCTATGGTGTCCCGTAGTAATGGTCCAGTGTTTGATTGGTTTGTGTAGTTGTAGATCTATGGTGTCCCGTAGTAATGGTCCAGTGTTTGATTGATTTGTGTAGTTGTAGATCTATGGTGTCCCGTAGTAATGGTCCAGTGTTTGATTGGTTTGTGTAGTTGTAGATCTATAACTCAGTGTCGCGTAGTAATGGTCCAGTGTTTGATTGGTTTGTGTAGTTGTAGATCTATAACTCAGTGTCGCGTAGTAATGGTCCAGTGTTTGATTGGTTTGTGTAGTTGTAGATCTATAACTCAGTGTCCCGTAGTAATGGTCCAGTGTTTGATTGGTTTGTGTAGTTGTAGATCTATGGTGTCCCGTAGTAATGGTCCAGTGTTTGGTTGGTTTGTGTAGTTGTAGATCTATAACTCAGTGTCGCGTAGTAATGGTCCAGTGTTTGATTGGTTTGTGTAGTTGTATATCTATAACTCAGTGTCCCGTAGTAATGGTCCAGTGTTTGATTGGTTTGTGTAGTTGTAGATCTATGGTGTCCCGTAGTAATGGTCCAGTGTTTGATTGGTTTGTGTAGTTGTATATCTATAACCCAGTGTCCCGTAGTAATGGTCCAGTGTTTGATTGGTTTGTGTAGTTGTAAATCTATGGTGTCCTGTAGTAATGGTCCAGTGTTTGGTTGGTTTGTGTAGTTGTAGATCTATGGTGTCCCGTAGTAATGGTCCAGTGTTTGATTGGTTTGTGTAGTTGTAGATCTATGGTGTCCCGTAGTAATCACTGTTTGATTGATTTGGCAGGAGTTCCTAGAGAAACGATCTATCAAAATTGGGTGAAATTACTGAAATTGAGTATTTTCACTCAAACATTGTTTAGATTTTCACACCGTAAAATAATTTATTACATTTTACCAGAACAATATAGGAAGTTGAATTGATTGTTCTTAACGTCATAACTTTTCCACTGGTGATACATTTTTTTACCTGCAAAGTGGTGCTTTGAAATTCGCCAAAGTTCCTGTTCTGACGAGGATGAAGAGGTTCTCTTAAACTTGAATTTCCATCAACTATTTCCCGTGTACATTTCTGTTTTTCTGCAATTTGGTATATAAAACAGTTTTGTAAGCTTTTCTCATCAAATAACAGCATAAACGTGTAGAATACCATGTAAATCTGTCTATACAAAATGGCGTCGTCTGATAACTAAACGAATCGTCAAAATATCTTACGTCAAAGTTGATGTTTTCGCGAAGCTTTATTACTACTTGAAAGAAAATTATATACTCGCTTTTGAGAAAAAGGACATTAGCTGTTTATGCAAGTTCAACTTGTGAACACTAATGTCGAAAAGTTCATATTGTTCTGTAAGTTTATATATAAATACGACACCACTAATTGCACTGTCCCGTATTGCATTGATTATGTAATTGTATACAGATTCATTCACAAACATATTTATGTATATGAAATAAAGGTAAAGTCAGCAGTATATTTAGTACAACGCTACACAAATTTATGAAGCTAAATGAGCGTTGTTCCCGTCCTCCTATGTTGATTAAACACAATAAGATATTCCCAAGTTACTTCGACATCCCGCCGCCATCTTTGTTCTCCTTGCTCTTGCTTTTGAGCTGGTGTGACGTTTTCCTTCCTGGAATATTTTCTTCGTTTATGTCTCGTTGTTAAAGAGGGACAAAACCATTTTGGATGCTCTATTTTGTGAAAATCATACAACGGCCTTGACCTTTCGGTCACCGACGACGACATCATCACTACACCTTTATTTCGGATACCATTCATGTGTGAAAAGTACATGTAGCGGAAATATAAAACAGTTTACAATGTAATGTCAATTGTTTGGTTCCAGCATTTGTGTTTATTTCTAAGGACAAACAAGGACATTTCACTCGAGGTCACGTGGCATACCATGTGTTACATTGCACGAGGCCATGTTTGATAAGCATATTTTCCATTGACTTTTTCCATATGTTCAGTTAAAACTATTATCCTGATGGACCATGTAGCTGTTCAGCATTTAACCATCGTCTGCAGATATGGCAACATTAGAACATTTGGTACTTCGTCTGTTTTTGTACTTCTTTTAAAAGGTATAAATAGTCAAAGCGACTATCCCGTACGTAAAGCACCCCAATAACAGTCTGTCGTATTAGCCGACTCTTCATTCGAATGGGAGGATGTAATTTTTGTTTATCTTTGGTTCTACATAGCCAGCATTAGAAGTTTTAAGCAATAACATATAACATTTGATATACGTATTGCGTATTGAAGTAATATTCTTTTATGCGACAATCCGGAACGCATTACCATGAGACACAGAACTATCATGGATGAGTTACGAGACATGAATGTGTTAATCGACAAAACTATAGTACTATTTTTATCACAAGGTAATTTCCATACCTGAATTCCATAAAAAAGATCAAAAGGCAGCATTCCTTATTCCATAAATCGATAGAAATCTGGCAATGTTTTAAACCAGTGATTCAGACTCGAAGGTGATTTTGTCTTTATCTTAATATGTGTTAAGTGGTAACGTTTTGTGACTCGGATCTGTACTTGTGTTATTTCTTGTAATTGTATCGCACAGGGAAATTACGTCATGTCTCATTCCTAATTGAAAATATGAAAAAAGATAATTTATTACTAATTGAGGATATGAAAAATAATAATTTGTTACTAATTGAGGATATGAAAAATGAGAATTTATTACAAATTGAGGATATGAAAAATGAGAATTTATTACAAATTGAGGATATGAAAATGAGAATTCGTTACTAATTGAGGATATGAAAATGAGAATTTGTTACTAATTGAGGATATGAAAATGAGAATTCGTTACTAATTGAGGATATGAAAATGAGAATTTATTACAAATTGAGGATATGAAAAATGAGAATTTATTACAAATTGAGGATATGAAAAATGAGAATTTATTACAAATTGAGGATATGAAAAATGAGAATTTATTACTAATTGAGGATATGAAAATGAGAATTCGTTACTAATTGAAGATATAGAAATGTTGTTTTATTACTTATTGAGGATATGAAAAATGATGATTTATTACTAGTTGAGAATATGAAAAAAGTTTATCTGAAAATAGTATTAACAAGAATTATATTCTGGAAGGTTTCTGATGATAAAAGAACACAAATGTACGAGGTGTTACATGGTGGTTTTGTGTTTTTTTTACAGGAAAGGAAGCTTAACTGTCAAGACTGTTGAAGCGCCGATCACCAACTTGATTTGAAATTTAAAATTAAAAATTATATGTAAAAAGATTTTAAATGAAGTCGTTTTTTATTATTTGAATGTATTATTATAATAATTTAGACATACAAAGTAATCTGGATTGATGTCATTTCATTTCCTATTGTCAGATATTAGAGAATGGATTTAGCGCAAGGTACTGCAATTTGTCACGGTCATCTTCCTTAGATAAGATATCGAAATTTTACGGTGAAGGAGAATAAAGTTTAAGCACAATTGACATCAAACTTTTCAACAAAGATCGTCATCACAAACTTTTGTTTGAGTTTATACAAGTATGGACATATCTAGAATATCCATAATGAGATTACGTTACATTGGTGTATTGAGAATCACCGAATAAGATTCCAAGTTAGTTTCTATATTAAAGGTACAGTCGATCCTCGTTACATCGAACTCAGCGGAACCACGAGAAACCTTCGAGATAAAAGAGTAATCGATTTAAGTGTGTTCAAATGTTTTGTGTAAAGTTAGGAAGGGACCGACGAAATGCTCCGAATTAAACAGGGTCTTTGAATTATAAGAGTTCGAGATAATGAAGTTCAACTGCATGAAAATGTCTTGTATTGAGAACATAACCCTCACATGTCAGAAGAATAGAGAAAGACATTCCCGTAAGGGTTACCACAGCTACATGGTACACTATTTGTAAAGTTAGCTCTAAAGAGATCATATTTTAGAGAGCTATTTTAACTTTCGTTCTCAAACTCCATAACAGACTGTATGTTAGACGAGTTTTTATATTATCTTAAGACGGTAGATATTTCAGTGAGATATCTAGGGCATTCATCAGTTGATGATACAAAGGACATGTTTGTAAAGAAATAAATAATCTGAAGAATTCTATACTTATATTCGTTTCGAAGATCGTACAGGTTATTTTCACCAACAATTAAATGTGAGTGATAATATTATGTTTAACATTTTGATATCCCAGAATTACTTCCCTTTGTTTCACTCTTTGGTATAGAAATAAGCTTAACAGCTGATGGGCAGAGAATTCGGTTCAGAAGAGCTTTTGTTTCTACCGATCGGAAAGAAATTCAATATCTGTTTCATAATGCAAAGCATCTTTACATACAAATGTACATTATATCACGGCTAGCCACTATCTGGGCTTTCCCTGATTCACCAGAATGAGGTTTGACACAAAGATCCAATCACTTAGTTATTTAAGCTTTCTTAATTTTTTCTAGCATTAAAAAGATCTCCGCAATGTTAATGATAATTTGTAAAGTTAAGAATATTTGCATTAACTTCAAATTCCCAACTTTACATTTATATCCACAGAGTTGTAAACAATCTGTCTTTTCTGGATAACCATGTTTTACTCATGTATTTCACTGATCTAACTCTCTGTTGGGAGATGATGCGCTCTAAAGCGAAGTATTTTCTACAGAAAGACGAGAAGGTAGTCTAAAAAATGTCACCAATTCCCCCTTATGGAGCCTCAATGTCACTTACAGATGAAGAAGGTTTATCTAAAATAAAAATGACTTTTACGTCTAAAAATAAATAATTTTATAACCATGTTTATGATTCACCTGATAAACCATACGATTTTAACTTAATGAAGAAACTTTTAGGACAAACATTTTTCAAAACTTTGCATATAACACAAAAAACTCTGTATGTTGTATCACCTCGAGTGTAGTACATATTTGATGATAAATATAGATTAGTAGGTAAACTGGGGAGTGTTCCTGCATAAAACCAGACTGATGCTTATAAAACAACGTACCGTTTGTATATTCAATAAAATAGTCAGTTTACAGTTGTTTATAAAACATTCTTTCAAAGATTTTAATGTGTAGGTAGAAGTGATATTTGTCTGTAGTTAAAAATAGTAATATGACAGGATTTAATTTCCTTATTTCATGTTAAAACCCTCACCGTATCGACATATCACACAATATTTCAAAGGAAATACCGACAGGTGGAGCTGTTACTTTTCAACATATGGGAGCTGATTCCATCTCTACCACTGTCTGGATCTGAGTGTATGTGATAAAATTTTATACAACACTAATTCTGGATTTCATATTTTTCATCCAGATTGTTTTATATTTTGTTTTAAGGTGGAATCAAGGTAAATCAAAGTAAAGTTACATTTTGTGAACGAAATCCTCGATAGCACGATGGAACCAACAAACCTACTAAACGAGCAACGAACAAATACCAGCCAACAAACCAAACCAACTCAACGAGCAACGAACAAATACCAAACCAACTCAACGAGCAACGACGAATACCAAAACAAAACTCAACGAGCAACAAACAAATACCAAACCAACTCAACGAGCAACGAACAAATACCAAACCAACAAACCAACTCACCGAGCAACGAACAAATACCAAACCAACTCAACGAGCAACGAACAAATACCAGCCAACAAACCAACTCAACGAGTAACGAACAAATACCAGCCAACAAACCAACTCAACAAGCAACGAGGAATACCACATCAACTCAACGAGCAACGAACAAATACCAGCCAACAAACCTACTCAACGAGCAACGAACAAATACCAAACCTACTCAACGAGCAACGAACAAATACCAGCAAACACACCAACTCAACGAGTAACGAACAAATACCAGCCAACAAACCTACTCAACGAGTAACGAACAAATACCAGCCAACAAACCAACTCAACAAGCAACGAGGAATACCACATCAACTCAACGAGCAACGAACAAATACCAGCCAACAAACCTACTCAACGAGCAACGAACAAATACCAAACCTACTCAACGAGCAACGAACAAATACCAGCAAACACACCAACTCAACGAGTAACGAACAAATACCAGCAAACACACCAACTCAACGAGTAACGAACAAATACCAGCTAACAAACCTTCTCAATGAGCAACGAACAAATACCAGCCTACAAACCAACTCAACGAGCAACGAACAAATACCACACTAGCTCAAGGAGCAACGAACAAATACCAAACAAACAAACCTACTCAACGAGCAACGAACAAATATCAGCCAACAAACACCAACCAACAAGCAACGAACAAATACCAGCCAACAAACCAACTCTACGAGCAACGAACAAATACCAAACCTACTCAACGAGCAACGAACAAATACCAGCCAACAAACCAACTCAACGAGTAATGAACAAATACCAGCCAACAAACCAACTCAACAAGCAACGAGGAATACCACATCAACTCAACGAGCAACGAACAAATACCAGCCAACAAACCTACTCAACGAGCAACGAACAAATACCAAACCTACTCAACGAGCAACGAACAAATACCAGCAAACACACCAACTCAACGAGTAACGAACAAATACCAGCCAACAAACCTACTCAACGAGCAACGAACAAATACCAAACCAACAAACCACAACGAGCAATGAACAAATACCAAACCAACTCTACGAGCAACGAACAAATACCAGCCAACAAACCAACTCTACGAGCAACGAACAAATACCAGCCAACAAACCAACTCAACGAGCAACGAACAAATACCAAACCAACAAACCAACTCAACAAGCAACGAACAAATACCAGCCAACAAACCAACTCAACAAGCAACGAGGAATACCACATCAACTCAACGAGCAGCGAACAAATACCAGCCAACAAACCTACTCAACGAGCAACGAACAAATACCAGCCAACAAACCAACTCAACAAGCAACGAGGAATACCACATCAACTCAACGAGCAACGAACAAATACCAGCCAACAAACCTACTCAACGAGCAACGAACAAATACCAGCCAACAAACCAACTCAACAAGCAACGAGGAATACCACATCAACTCAACAAGCAACGAACAAATACCAGCCAACAAACCAACTCAACAAGCAACGAGGAATACCACATCAACTCAACGAGCAACGAACAAATACCAGCCAACAAACCTACTCAACGAGCAACGAACAAATACCAGCCAACAAACCAACTCAACAAGCAACGAGGAATACCACATCAACTCAACGAGCAACGAACAAATACCAGCCAACAAACCAACTCAACAAGCAACGAGGAATACCACATCAACTCAACGAGCAACGAACAAATACCAGACAACAAACCTACTCAACGAGCAACGAACAAATACCAGCCAACAAACCAACTCAACGAGCAACGAACAAATACCAAACCAACAAACCAACTCAACAAGCAACGAACAAATACCAAACCAACTCTACGAGCAACGAACAAATACCAGCCAACAAACCAACTCAACAAGCAACAAGGAATACCACATCAACTCAACGAGCAACGAACAAATACCAGCCAACAAACCTACTCAACGAGCAACGAACAAATACCAAACCAACACAACGAGCAACGAACAAATACCAAACCAACTCTACGAGCAACGAACAAATACCAGCCAACAAACCAACTCAACACGCAACGAGGAATACCACATCAACTCAACGAGCAATGAACAAATACCAGCCAACAAACCTACTCAACGAGCAACGAACAAATACCAAACCAACACAACGAGCAACGAACAAATACCAGCCAACAAACCAACTCAACGAGCAACGAACAAATACCAAACCAACAAACCAACTCTAAGAGCAACGAACAAATACCAAACCAACAAACCAACTCTAAGAGCAACGAACAAATACCAAACCAACAAACCAACTCTAAGAGCAACGAACAAATACCAAACCAACACAACGAGCAACGAACAAATACCAGCCAACAAACCAACTCAACGAGCAACGAACAAATACCAAACCAACAAACCAACTCAACGAGCAACGAACAAATACCAAACCAACTCAACGAGCAATGAACAAATACCAGCCAACAAACCAACCAACAAGGAACGAACAAATACCAAACCAACTCAACGAGCAATGAACAAATACCAAACCAACAAACCAACTCTAAGAGCAACGAACAAATACCAAACCAACAAACCAACTCTAAGAGCAACGAACAAATACCAAACCAACAAACCAACTCTAAGAGCAACGAACAAATACCAAACCAACAAACCAACTCAACGAGCAACGAACAAATACCAAACCAACTCAACGAGCAATGAACAAATACCAGCCAACAAACCAACCAACAAGGAACGAAAAGTACCAGCCAACAAATCAACTCAACAAGCAACGAACAAATACCAAACCAACTCAACGAGCAATGAACAAATACCAGCCAACAAACCAACTCAAGGAGCAACGAACAAATACCAAACCAACAAACCAACTCAACGAGCAACGAACAAATACCACATCAACTCAATGAGCAATGAACAAATACCAGCCAACAAATCTACTCAACGAGCAACGAACAAATACCAAACCAACTCAACGAGCAATGAACAAATACAAGCCGACAAACCAACTCAACGAGCAACGAACAAATACCAGCCAACAAACCAACTCAACGAGCAACGAACAAATACCAAACCAACTCAACGAGCAACGAACAAATACCAAACCTACTCAACGAGCAATGAACAAATACCACCCAACAAACCAACTCAACGAGCAACGAACAAATACCAGCCAACAAACCAACTCAACGAGCAACGAACAAATACCAAACCAACTCAACGAGCAACGAACAAATACCAGCCGACAAACCAACTCATCGAGCAACGAACAAATACCAAACCAACTCAACGAGCAACGAACAAATACCAGCCGACAAACCAACTCATCGAGCAACGAACAAATACCAAACCAACTCAACGAGCAACGAACAAATACCAAACCAACAAACCTACTCAACGAGCAACGACGAATACCAGCCAACAAACCTACTCAACGAGCAACGACGAATACCAGCCAACAAACCAAAGTCAATGAGCAACGAACAAATACCAGCCAACAAACCAACTCAACGAGCAACGAACAAATACCAGCCAACAAACCAACTCAACGAGCAAGGAACAAACACCAAACCAACACCAGCTTGCATCGCTTACAGCCATGTGCTATGCTTTCATGGAAATCAAACCATCACGTACTATTGTTGGGTTGGGTACATGTGATTAGAAATGTGACTCTCTAAATATGTCTATAAATACTCTACTTCAATGTGTAAAATATTGTAATAAATAGGGTTCAGGACAAATCAAGGTCATGTCAGACATTCTTGTTGATATCTGGACCTGTCAGACATTCTTGTTGATATCTGGACCGGTCAGACATTCTTGGTGATGTTGATGTCTCTACCTGTCAGACATTCTTGTTGATATCTGGACCTGTCAGACATTCTTGTTGATGTTGATGTCTCTACCTGTCAGACATTCTTGTTGATGTTGACATCTGGACCTGTCAGACATTCTTGTTGATGTTGATGTCTGGACCTGTCAGACATTCTTGTTGATGTTGATGTCTGGACCTGTCAGACATTCTTGTTGATGTTGATGTCTGGACCTGTCAGACATTCTTGTTGATGTTGATATCTGGACATGTTAGACATTCTTGTTGATGTTGATATCTGGACCTGTCAGACATTCTTGTTGATGTTGATATCTGGACCTGTCAGACATTCTTGTTGATGTTGATGTCTGAACCTGTCAGACATTCTTGTTGATGTTGATGTCTGGACCTGTCAGACATTCTTGTTGATGTTGATATCTGGACATGTCAGACATTCTTGTTGATGTTGATATCTGGACATGTCAGACATTCTTGTTGATTTCCAATAATACGTACATTTTATAGTTATAAAGAATACAAAACGGATGTTGCAAACTAACAATAGTAACATAAAATTCGTTTCTATCTACACAGCATGTTTTGAATCTTCCGTATAGTCTACAGTAAAACTGATTTTTATATGACACCAAGAAAATGTATAGAGAAAAGTATGCAACGTTGACTTGAAGAGTATGTTTTTAACTTGTGGCTTGTGCAATGCATACTCTGTTACCTTAAGCAGATAGGCTGTGCAATGATATGTAGCTAGTTAACACAATGGATATGGAATCAATAAATCGTTTATATGCACACGAGTCTATGTTCCCCTCGTCTCGATTCAAACGCCTGCTTAACTGTTTCGTAGACATGTAACTCATTACATCCATCACTTTGGAGTTACATTCGTCAGCAACATACATGCTATTGCTGAGCATGATCCGAGTAAAATACCTACGGTAGTTTTGATCATACACTTACGACAAAATGTTTGTAAATCAAAGTTTACGTCAATTATAACTATAAGGAAATTTATACAAAGGAGAGAAAGTGAATGTCGTGTCTCAGTGGAGTGAAAAGTTTCGAGTCGAGATGAAGGGGGTTATAGACATTTACACTTAAATAAATGGTTATGAACTTAATAAAGTGTAGTCGTATCGGTTTGTATAATATTTTATAATTTTGCATACACTGGCTATACATAAGCTTGTATATATAACTTAGACGTGACTAAGGCTAATGTCCCTAGTTCAGTTTGTGTCTTTATCTGCAGTATATGATGGATTGTCTTGGTAGGTTAACTCTACTTCCTTACTGTCAATCACGCGACCATCGTCACAACAGCAGAGTACTAGACGGAGTCTGTAAATGCCGTAACATACACAATGGACCAACGGCATAGCCACGAAGGTGACAGCTATAGAGATCCCTACGGTATACCCTGTGCTACCCTTCCAGTCAAGAACAGAATAGACGTAGTTTTTGTCTACGTGGTTGGTGCCGCCCCCTAGCGTGTAGAACAGAGAGAACAGCACGTACACTAAAGCGTACACCATCGTGTGCCAGAAGTGGAGGACTCGGACAGGTATTCCAGTGACGAACAGATTCAGGATGACGTAGACAGCATTCAAGGCATGTGTCTCAATATTCACAGCAGTCATTTCTTCAGAACCTACTCGTGTAAAAGAAACATGTCTATGAAGTAAAACTGATACAGTGAACACGAGAAGACGCTGATACAGTGAACACGAGACGACACTGACACAGAGAACACGAGACGACACTGACACAGTGAACACGAGACGACACTGACACAGTGAACACGAGACGACACTGATACAGTGAACACGAGACGACACTGACACAGTGAACAAGAGACGACACTGATACAGTGAACAAGAGACGAAACTGATACAGTGAACACTAGACGACACTGATACAGTGAACACGAGACGACACTGATACAGTGAACACGAGACGACACTGACACAGTGAACAAGAGACGACACTGATACAGTGAACAAGAGACGAAACTGATACAGTGAACACTAGACGACACTGATAAAGTGAACACGAGACGACACTGATACAGTGAACACGAGACGACACTGATACATTGAACATGAGACGACACTGATACAGTGAACACGAGACGACACTGATACAGTGAACACGAGACGACACTGATACAGTGAACATGAGACGACACTCATACGGTGAACATGAGACAACACTCATACAGCGAACACGAGACGACACTGACACAGTGAACACGAGACGACACTGACACAGCGAACACGAGACGACACTGATACAGTGAACACGAGACGTCACTGATACAGTGAACACGAGACGACACTGATACAGTGAACACGACACAACACTGATACAGCGAACACGAGACGACACTGATACAGTGAACATGAGACAACACTCATATAGTGAACATGAGACAACACTGATACAGTGAACATGAAACGACACCCATACAGTGAACATGAGACAACACTCATACAGTGAACATGAGACAACACTCATACAGTGAAAATGAGACGACACTGATACAGTGAACATGAGACGACACTCATACAGTGAACACGAGACAACACTCATACAGTGAACATAAGACAACACTCATACAGTGAACATGAGACAACACTCATACAGTGAACACGAGACGACAATGATTCAGTGATTGGTTAGCAACTTTTTCGGGAAATGTGGGAAAATTAATTAACAAATAATATTTGCGTTATGTATTCAGCAGATATGTACTTGGTATTGTAGATGAGGCCCCGATACTGAATATGAGATATATAGTTCCTGTTATAGTGGAGGCCCAAGTAGTGTATATAAAACATGTATATGCTGTTGTAGAGGAGGCCCGATACTGTATACTTACTACTGTACAGGAGGCCCCGATACTGTATACTTACTGCTGTAGAGGAGGCCCCAGTATAGCATGGATACGGTGATACTGCATGTGTTGGCTACGTTAAAGACTACCCAGTTGAACTTGAAGTACCATGGATTCGCAAACGCCAACGCTATAAAACAGTTCACAATGATATCGTAAGCCTAGCATGTCTACCTGAAAACAAGCTGTTAAACCAACCTAGACAACAAACCGAAACAAGTTAAAAATCGTGTCCGCTTCAAAAGATAAATATAAATAAATTTCCAATATTGAAACAGGTCTCTAGATATATGTTATAAATGTTTATCCACAAAAATGTTCCGAAACAATAGAATGTTATACTGAGAGAGCAGGTTATTCGCTTTGTTTTCTGCAAACACGTAACCTGGGTCAAAGTATCAGGATAGACAAATTTCTTTACAAGAGAAAATACTTTTCTTTGATTTCAACTAAGTACATTTCATGGCTATATGGACATATAATGGTATATACCTTCACATATATCTTTCCGATTAACACGAGTATAAATGACACAAGTTAAGTCTATCAGCGTGGACAGGGTCAGCATGAAGTAGCACCAGTCAGTGAGGTATATAAACCATTTGATTTGTTGATTGTGATCAGGCCCCGCCCATTGCCAGCTAAACACTCCCGTCAGGATAATCCAGACCACGTGGTATAGGGCCCAAATTACCCTCCACACCAAATATGGAATTTGTTTTCCACACTGAAAAAAAAAAACGTTTAAACATGATCCGAGCGATAAAAGCGAGGAGACGAATGGAAAAGGGGCGATATTGTGAGTGAGGGAGAGGAAATAACATCGCGAATGAGTGATGGAAATGAAGCATGATCACGAAGGAGGGAGAGGAAGTGAGATCACGAGTTAGGGAGAGGAAGTGATATAGCGAAGGGAGAGAGAGAAAGCGAGATCGCAAGTGAGGGAGAGGAAGTGAGATCACGAGTTAGGGAGAGGAAGTGAGATCGCGAGTGAGGGAGAGGAAGTGAGATCGCTAGGAAGGGGAGAAGATGGAGCGAATTTGTAATGGAGGAAGGGAGATGGAACAAAATTGCGATGGAGGGAGGTAAGAAAAGGAAGTGCGATCGCGAGTGAGGGATGAAAAGCGAGCGAAATCGCGAGTGAGGGAGGGAGAGGAAGCGAGATCGCGAGGGAGAGAGAGGAAGCGAGATCGCGAGGGAGGGAGAGGAAGTGAGATCGCTAGGAAGGGGAGAAGATGGAGCGAGCTTGTAATGGAGGAAGGGAGATGGAACAAAACTGCGATGGAGGGAGGTAAGAAAAGGAAGTGCGATCGCGAGTGAGGGATGAAAAGCGAGCGAAATCGCGAGTGAGGGAGGGAGAGGAAGCGAGATCGCGAGGGAGAGAGAGGAAGCGAGATCGTGGGGGAGGGAGAGAAGTCAAGATCGCGTGGGAGGGAGAGAAGGCAAGATCGCGAGGGAGGGAGAGGAAGCGAGATCGCGAGTGAGGGAAGGAGCGAGCGAAATCACCAGGGAGGGAGAAAGAGTGAGAAGGAAGGAGTGAGTGAAAACTAAAAATCTTATATTTTAGGGAGGATCGAGATAAAAACAAAAATCTTATGTTGTAGCATCCATTAACTATAGTTACACTTAAAACCTAAAAATGCGTGGCATTGATAAAAAGGCCTAAGCGTCCACCTAAAACTAAAATTCATCGTCCACCTAAAACTAAAAATTGTCGAACGATTCATCGTCCACCTAAAACTAAAAATTGTCGAACGATTCATCGTCCACCTAAAACTAAAAATTGTCGAACGATTCATCGTCCAGATAAAAACAAAAATCTTATGTTGTAGCACGATTCATCGTCCAGATAAAAAATAAAAATCTTATGTTGTAGCACGATTCATCGTCCACCTAAAACTAAAAATCTTATGTTGTAGCACGATTCATCGTCCACCTAAAAATCTTATGTTGTAGCACGATTCATCGTCCACCTAAAACTAAAAATCTTATATTTTAGGACGATTCATCGTCCAGATAAAAACAAAAATCTTATGTTGTAGCACGATACATCGTCCAGATAAAAAATAAAAATCTTATGTTGTAGCACGATTGTTGTCGTGAACAAAACACCAAACAAATAAACATGATAAAAGTCTGTATATCACACTACCATTTAATTCAAGTACAACTCACCTCTCCAGCATTAATGAGCTGTCATACACACTAACAGACATACTGTATGCTATACCACGAACCACAGGAAATATAGATAATCTCAATATATCATAAGATATTAAAGAATCAAAAGCTAGTTCATCCTCTACCTAAAAAGATAAATATCATGGTTTGTATATATGCACACTACTCTAGAAAGTAATCAACTAAGAACATATTCAGCAGCAGCTTTGATACTGTTCCACACCTGGATGTTTACGTTACAGCTTACTGTGCAAATTACTGTGGCCAGGTAAGTCTTTTATCAGAATTGATCGACCGATACTAACTCACCTGAAACTGGACAAAGTGATGCGGTCGGTCATATCCCGAAAGGAAATTAGACACCTTAAATTCTTGTGAACAACACTCTCGGCATCCTTCCCGACCTGACTCTGGGTCCGCCATCTTCTTTGAATGTTAACAACAATATACAGTAGCACGACCTTTCAACTGGTTTTATCACGGTTCATACGTCACGTTTTACCACGCAAGGATGGGTTTTGTTTGTGAATGTGACGATGAAAGTCTATAAAAAGAAGTAAGTCTACATGTGTTGCCTAAGAACAGAATAACAAGGTTACGGTTCACTGGACAAGTGGTAGGTAGATGGCTACATATTTGTATTTACCGATGTCAGTTCTCATCTACACCTACACATATATAATGATATACTTCGTGGCACGATATTTTGATTGAAAATCTGTAGCTATAAAGGAAATTCAGCCATGCGTGGCTTGGTGATTTAAATATCAATTTAAAAGGAAATGGAATTAATTGATTTATAGTAGAATCAATACATGACTGTTGACAGAATAGATAGAGACTTGTTGAAGAACATTTGGATGGCTCCTTGTAATATAATTTACAATTCACAAGAGAAATTGAAAAGCTTATGCTTTGGTATATGCAATATCATTATTACAACGGCAAAACATCAACAAAGAAAACAAAAATTACACGGAGACTCGTAGTACAGGGACTGAGACAAGTGTTCAGGAAGGGTTAGCGTCGTCAGCCTTTACTTCTGTCGGAATCCACTTCACATGATAACTCGCATCGAATACATATATTTCCCAGTCAGACCACGGGGAAGGTCATTAAACTTCTCCATAGTCTTCATCAATCTGCATCTCTTGAAATCTCGCGTTGCAAGTTAAACATGCTCATGAATACCAACATATAAATATCATAGATTGTGGAAGCAGGATTGTTACAACTAGAAACTGAAATCTAAGGTAATCGAAATATTCAAGCTTAACTTAGCACAAATCGGCACCTTATGGTTGTGTGGTATGACAGGGTCGAGGTAAAAAGTAGAAGAGCCTGTCGTGTGGTTGCTTTCCAATGAATAAGGAACATTGTTTTGTTAATCATTACAAATCAAGACACCATGAAAACATCTAAAGAAGAAATGAGATCAGTTGTCCATGTCTTTATTTTGATAAGTTATCTGATTAATTCAGTCAAGTGTGAAAATAGCCAAAATAGAAGCACAGTTTGTTTCCACAGGTCAATAGTCTGTAAGGAGATCTTACCACCAAATTAGACGTAGAGTTGTCAGCAAGAAATCATTTTCCTAATTTCATCCGCAGTATGCTTTATCTTTACTGTAAATATGGTAGCTCATGCTACGAATATTCCGTGAAACGTTATAGCAAACCTACCTTTAGAATCAAGAGCAAAGCGGGGTTATAGGAAAAGAACCATATGATGGCCACAGAGCTCCCGGCGGAAAGCTTTTTTTCCAGAATTATACACAGTTATAGAGTTGTAGTTAGGCACCGAGAGATTAATAATCGCTCTTCAGTGACTCCTACTCTTATCAGCAGTGTCGAATTTTTTCCCCATCTCCATAAATCAACATAACCATCAGAGAGTAAACAAATATTTTACTGCGCAACCCGGTGGTAACGCACTCGCCTTCCACCTAGCCGTCCGGTGTTCGATTCCCGGAACAGACGTGAAAAGGTATGGGGTCACCTGCCCGTAAACGTGGGTTTTCCACGAGTACTCCGGTTCCTCCCATAGTAAGACCCCTTTTGTGTGCTTTCATTCGGAACAACAAGTGTGATTAATAAAAGTTGGAAAAAACTTGTTTCGCACTTATGTATAAACATTTTACTTTAAAAGGTACAGTCGAGCTATTTGTAGCGTCATAATTCCTTCATATTCTTCATAATTGGTTCTGTCCTGGAAGACCGTTGAATGACGGCTGATTATTGGTATTTAAGCTACTTCCGACATTTAAACAGGACGGGAGTTCTTCCGCTTCCGCTTTGGGCCAGGTCTTTCGGCCTCCACATCAGAAAAGAATTTGTTGTAAATTATAGCTTTCTAGTCATTGACATATACTGAACTTAAATTCTTCGTAAATTAACTGAAGTACTCCTGTATGTAACTCAACTTTGGAAAAAGATATGATGTCTAGAAAACATACTCTTTGATCGGAAGTTCCTATATTTGAGTGCATTCGTTTCACGAGTATCTAAACTCCCTTGCCGACTTGGTCACAATAGGAACACAATTACAAGACAGATTCCTGTCTAATACGAATCCTGCTGTCAGATAAGTCGTCAAGGTATCGCCCTTTGATGGACTATCTGGAACCGACATTCTCACTTTCTTCATGTTGGCCCCTGCTATGATTTCGGACACTGATTCTTGTAATTGCTTAAAATCGAGAGATTGTGTACAAAATTTAATTCGACTAGTAAAGATGAAAACAAAGTCGTTTTAATTCTGTAAATGTGTTTATTTTCAGAGACGGAAAACAAAAAGTACAATTATTATTGCCTGGTTTGTCCCTAAAAAAGTGATCTTTTGGTGACTATTCTGATTCCCGGTTCAAACGGCGTCGAACCATCAGTAAAACAGCACTTACTGATAACACCATCATACCTACCAACACTGCGATCGTGAATATATCACCATCGATACCGATGTTCTTCGTCTGACCGATTGGGTTTGCTACATCCGGTTTACCAGCCACTTTTCTTCTACGGCCTGTCAACAAAAATATACTGTGTGTAAGTTTACAACAAGACTTCTTAAGATGTTTGGTTTTAACAATCAGAAAGAAATGCAATGGAAATGTTTTTGTAGTTTGGCTTACCGATGTGTCGCGGTATGACCCCGGAAGTAGTTAACATCGCTCGGTACCCCTGAGGCGCTGTTACGATCGACCGCACCATTCTTTGGTGGCATTGTTGGTCACAAACAGACGAATTGTCCGTAGTGTTACAGAAGGTGACGGTGCAATACAAATACAAGTTGTCCTGATCAGTCGAATATTCAAAATCTCTAAATACAAACCTGGTCTCGTGAGGTGTAATGTAGAGCACACGTGAACTGATGTCACTAGCACACCTGAAATAGAAGTATCACATGATTGGTTAATCTCTGACTAGTTAGTGAATCGAAGCTGATAGAGACACTGACAGAATGGATATCAAATGAATATTTCATCAGCAAAAGATCTTTACTAATCAGAAACTCCACTGCCCCGTTGCAGACCTATGTCCGCAGAGAGAAGGAACACATCAACAACTCACGCGTTCCTGATCAGGTATAATTTCAGATTTTCCCCAGCTCCAGGGGAGGGAAGAGTGTAGCAGGAGTCTACTCTCATCTTGACGTCGGGGTCGGATACGAGTGTGGCGAGCTTGACATAGATGTCCTCCCCGATGTCGGCCGAGAGTGGGTTATTTGTCATTACATAGTTATCGATCAGTGGATGTAGGAAGTTTAAGTCCCTGTAACGAAAATTGTATTCGGACTAGAAAAAATAATTTACATAGGATGGGTAAAAATAAGGAATACGATAAATAATTATAAACCTGTGCGTATATTACAACAGTACGTTATGAAGTTCTAACAAAAATAAATGTACAACAACTTGAACTATACATGATGTTTGATTCGTTTGTGTGTTTAGAGAAAAACAGAATATCATTTGCGATCTTACAGCTATAAACGGGAAATTAACAAGCCTCACGTGTAAAATGTCATAGAGATAGCGTAGTGGCCTTGACCAGAAATACGTGGATTATTGCTGCGCGTGCGAACCTGGTTCTGTGTCTCTATAAAATGCTGCGACACCGTCTCGTGTATATTCATGCGACACTCTAGGTCTATCCGGAAGCGGTAGTCTCTGATGATAAACTCGTAATTGGCATCTCTCAGTGCATACACCAAAGTATTGCTATACACGTCACTTCTGGCAGTGAGCTAAAATCAAACCATATCAAGAATATATATAATTACTGAAAAGAAATGCAATACCATACCATTGTTGGCGTAACATTAAAGTGTACCCTGACTGAAATGAATGTACTCTTATTTCTTATGATTCGGAATCAAAAAGATTGAAACGGCATTAAAATCCTATATATTGACGTGTTCAGTAAACTACTTCTAATCAGACTAAGGGTGACTCGCGCTGAGTGGGACCCTATCGGCTGTTACGTCACAAGTTCAAGTAGCCGACATGGAAGAAACAGATCGAGAACAGCTATGATATGCAACATTAGATTGCAAAGAAATGTTTGACAGCTTTTGAGGAATTAAATAATACTGACGATAACATTATACAGACTGTAAACAGTCATATGAAATTTGCCGAAAGTAATTAATTTAAACATGCTTCTATAGCGTTGAATTTCTCACGTCACAGACAACGGCTATTCATATCGAGGCTATCCATATCGAGGCTATCGCCGTCCAAAGATGTGTACTTCAGATAGATCACAATTTCTCGGAAACGCAACTAACTACGGCTTTCTTGGTCTTTTGTATTATATACACTTAAAACCTATTATTGTGACATATATACTTAGTATGTAATTATTTCATAACATTATAACTTGCAAGATAATTCTTCACGGAGTATGAATTACATAAAACGAACATAGTGTATGTATAATCATAATTTGTAAAATCTACATTAATTTCCACCTTGATTGTATGCGTTTCTAGTCGATCGATTTTGTAATTTGTAAGTAACGCTCTTCATCTTTGGAGGAAATAAAGACAAAAATGAAATGAAGTATTGTACAGCTACATATAGCAAAATACTGAAGTTAATTTTTTAAGTAAACCATCAAATGATTTAAACGATTCTGATTTTGGCAGTAAAGGTAACAGAAGCATCAAAGCACATTTTATTTTGTTTCTCAACTTTTTCAGATTTCAGATCGATCCGAAAAATAAAAATACTTGGTCAATATCACCTCAAGATCGTTCCAGGCACTGTTGGGTTTAATTCCACTGTCGGAACTTGAGGTTAAGTGTTGTTCAGAAAAACAAGAGGCCCATTGGCCTTACCGGTCATCTGACGACAAAAACTTTCGGCTGGGAGAAGGATTATTTTTCTACTTTGAATGAAATCTTACTGAGAAGCTATTTCCCATGAAGACTTAAGTTTTGGTGAGGAGTAGGTAACTGTAACAAGTGTTACCCTTCGGGTCACATGACCTAATAACATGATAAGGCAATCATGTTACAAAATGACAAACGTGACTTCCACGTAAAAGTATTGAAAAGGCCGAAAACTAACAGCACTTTGCCGACTTTTCAACTTGAACAGATTTTTAAAATGTATATCATGATGGCGGACGTATTGTATTTCGGACCGACCCAAAAAATAAGTATTGCTCAGGTCTGTTGTCTCATGATCATTTCAGACAAGTCTGAACTGAGCCCCATCAGTGGAACTTTCGAAGTGTAAAATATATAATTTAGGCACATCTTTTTCTTTCTGGTCGCTTTCAGCTTCGAAATGTCCAAACACCCTCTCCTTATCCATGGTAGCAAACCGCTTCATCGATGCAAGTAACCTTTTTAGCTTCTAACGACGCGCTAAAACATTCAACTCTAATTTAACTAGATAAAAATTTCACGTCACAGAAATCCATAGATTTAAAATCCAGCTGAACTGACAGGCATGTTAACAGATTCGTTTTATTAAACGATTTCTTGCTTTGCATTTCTCAGAAATATCGACTTTGAAAATGGCGGTCATCTGCAACGAATAAGTTTATATCCATGGGATCATAAATCCTAACGTACATTGTACCGGATAGGATGTTCGAGTTTTGGTATTTTGAACACCAAAACATTAAATATCGAAAACCCTTATAAACCCTTTTGTTTCTTTATAAAGTGAAGCATAACAAGCCACATAGAAAGTGTACTTTTTGAAAGAAACGAACTTCTTTCCTGCTCTACGTCGCTACCTTCTCATTTCTGTCGTTTGATGTCCGGTTTCAAGTAGTTAACTAAAATGTGTAACTCTGTAGTGAGGTGGTTTAACTCACAGTTCTATATTTAGAAATACGTACATAACTAATAATTAGGACTTACAGTATGGCGAGTCAGACAGTCGTTATACTGATGATTTATAATCAGGTAGTCACCAGATCGGTAGCCCTCGCAGCCCGCCTTACCGAGGTATATATCAGTCGGATCAAAGTCTGTGTGGCGCTTGTAAAGCTCTGGAAGGTATATCCGAATCTTCCAGACGTTTGTAAAACATTCAAGGCTGATGAAGCTGACGTAGGATTCTAGTAAAACCAACAAGAGAATTTATTGTCTAATGTGTGATGATAATGTTTAAATATAGCAATCAGTACACATATATATATGTAACATTTAAAGTGAAGGAGAATTCTGAAAGATTGGCCAAATATTGACCAGGATATGACCTGACGAATTCGGAAGTAACTATAGAAACGGCTAGATAGATTTTTTCCTGTCTCTTATGGGTATGCAGAAATCGCAAAACATGCCCTTGTTACTATATACAGTATGGTGTTCACCTGTTGACAACAAGTCGGGGTGTGTGGGTGTAATAGTGTACACCATATTCCGCTTCGAAACCCTACGATCAAAATGAATTCTTCATCTCAAGTACGAAAAATAAGATTTTCAAATTTTCTGTGATTTCCTTTTCAAATGACATGTTGGTATTTTATTGTTGTTTTTATAGTCTACGCGACACAATTAAAAAAAAATTCTTTGAAAATAGATTTAAATACTTGAGAAATATGAACTTTTGAATTTCTCATGAGTTGAATACGCCATTCTAAACCATTCGAAGTGTAATTTTTATAACACTTTAACAGATCACCGTGATGCAAATATGGAATTTCTAAAAGACATAACAAAATCTAATTCCACTTAAGTTGACGGGGTCATGGGTACTCTACACAGCCACAAGCATAGATTTGGCCGTTTCAGCATAGTTATTAAGATATTAATGTTGAATGGTAATTGGAATTGCACGTGGGTGTTTTCCAGATGGAGTTCTAAACCATCTAGTCATTGCAAAGACTTCTTCAGCCATATTCCTTCAACTTGTAATCATTTAATTAAAACACGTTTGCATAGCAAAGTGAACCGCAGTTTCGAAAATGAATGAAATAATCAGCTTCCCCACACCCTCACAGTCTTTGACTTGTGACTGAATAATTTCACGTCTTCGCGACCTACATGTTTATTGTTTCTTAAAGGACCCTTTGATTCCGCACGTGAATTATCACGATAGTGAGGATACTTACGTGAAACAAACGGGTGGCTCGAAGTCAAATCGTATGATGTTGTACTCTCTGTAAGAGACCCAAGAAACAAGTTAAGTGCCACCTATCAAAGTGGATGTTTTTCTGTAGCATCTGTCGTAGAAATAATCCGTTACAAAAGTAATATAACGTTAACATTGTACATGGATACTGCCATCCCAGGCTAATAATTCTGACCAAATATGAAATAATAACTTTCTTCGGGAATTGAACAAATTATGCTCAAAAATGTAATTTTCCTATACAAAACTAAAGCAAACTTTACTTTCTTCTTAAGTAAGCGCTATTGGTAGGAACTTTCCATTCACAGCGAATAATTGATTCTATCATATTTGGTAAAGATGTATTTATTTATTTACTTTTTCATTTATTTTATTTATTTCCTAAATTTCAATCAATTTGAACCTTTTCGGTTCCCACTATCAGTCCCTTGGTTCAGCCAGTGTTATTGTGTGCATACCAAGTCTGAATCACTTCCAAAGTAATATAAACATAATGCTGAAATGTAATTTTCCGATATTTGAACTACAATCATGTTTACCCTCTCCACCTGAGGGGTATGACAGCCCTCCAGGCATGAAATTTGAGGAGCACCTCAAGAACCTACCATATCCGAGCATTGTTTTTTTTTTTTTGAAATTCGAGTCTGACTCCGTTAATGTCAGCGCTCATCAGCTCCTGCAAGTTGCAAGGCAGTCAGGGTCAATAAGTACATGTCATGAAGCTGTCGTCCTATGTTTTCCAGTGGATATAAAACAAGTTATTGCAATAACTTATTTACCTATATAAACTATATATTGATCATATTATATTGGAAAGAAGAAGATAATGTCAATTGTCTACGGATGCACGAGAGGACGCACGGACGACAGAGGACGGATGGATGGACGACAGAGGACGTACGAACGACAGAGGACTGACGGACAAAAGAGAACGCACGGACGACAGAGGACGGACGGACAACAAAGATCGGCGAGACGACAGAGGACGGGCGGACAACAGGGGACGGACGGACGACAAAGACGGACAGACGACAAAGGACGTACGAAAGCGATTGTAACAGGTCAGTCGAGACTTCATCTCAGACAACCTAAATCCGTTTAGCTTTTCGATTTGCACGCTATAGTGACTTCAGTCTTACTATTTAGGAGCACTGTCCAAGGATTTTTTAGACAAGTTCTAACTTACATCAAACTTACTCCAGACTGAACGTCTACACAAACCTCAGTGGTGGAATGACTCTACTACATCACAATGTTGTAATTGTCGAAGCGGCAAATGTTATAAAGATCATATGGGGCGGATTGCGGTTCCTGACAGTATCCTCGTTTAAACGACGAGTTCGTGAATGCAAATGATAACATTATGTCTTTCAGCATGTTTGTGACTCGTAACATTGCACATGGAACTAGTCAATTTTATTTAAATGTGTAGAATCCATGTCATTTGAAAGACGTACTCTGTGTATTGAGTGTTTGTTAAAACATTCTAAGATGAAATGAATTAAAATTTATATGATCATGAATCTACATATTGAAGCTGTCGTATATAAATATCTCAGTTTCCCAGAAATTTACCTAGAAATATCAGCCAATGATCCTTTTTTTTATAATAAAAAAACAACAAAAAAACAAAAAACGAAGTGACGAATTTTCAATTAAGCGTATCTCGTAGTTTCGTTCAGAAATGTTAATTTTATCTTAATCGCCTTACTGTTTTGAGGCTATCATTCCCGATGAGAATATTGACTGAAGATAAAAAATTCATTTCGCATTGGTTTAGATATTTGACCCCAAACTCTCCCTGTATGTCGACGAAAGTTTATTTATTTAAACTTAATTGAGCAAGATTCCAAAGAAGGGAATTAGCTCGTCGCGATAACCCCTATTGATACTTTTTTGAATGTGGCAATCGAAAACTTCATTGAAACAACGGCTTTTGTTTACCTGTACCATTAACTCTATCAAACATAGAAAATGGCCGACGATGTTTCCATCAAAATCACACATTTCTTCATCTTACCAGTTTTAACTGAGTTACATGATCCCTGATAATGGGAGAAATATTCAGCAACTCAATCGTAAGTCCGGATGTCATATTGTGGGGTTCAACCACTGTACAGATTCGTGTGTACTTACCAGTGCGACCGGAACACAGGAAACCACCAGGGAAGTTGCTACAGGTATGACTTCCGCTGCAGCGGTTCGGGAGTTTACATTCGTTAATATCCTTGTCACAATGATGTCCTGACCAGCCATCTGTACACATGCACTCATAAGATCCGACATTGTTGTGACATGTAGCCTCGTTTTGACAAGGGTTGTTTTCACATTCATTTATATCCTCAGAACACGTGCTTCCATGCCAACCTTGGTTACAATGACATATATAGCCTCCGGCGACATTGGTACAGGTGGCGTTGTTCTTACCCAAGTGTTGTTTACATTCATCGATGTCTGTAGAGCAATGTGAGTCTGTCCATCCGGCCGCGCAATTACATGTATAACTACCGTCATTATTTATACATGTCCCATGGTTATTGCATACACGAGGCATAAAACTGCATTCATTAACATCCTTCGAACAGTTCCATCCAGTCCAGCCCGCGTTACACTGACACGTGTAATTACCGACACGGTTGTGACATGTGCCTCCATGTAAACAAGGGTTATGTTGACATTTATTCACGTCAGTATCACAATGATCACCCGTCCAGCCCGCGTTACACTGACACGTGTAGGACCCAACACTGTTTACGCAGTGCATGTTTTTATGTGGACATTTGGTATGTTGGCACTCGTTGATGTCATTCTCACAATTGTGTCCACTGAATCCTTGACACGCGCACGTGTAGGACCCGATCGTGTTGTTACACGTGCCTCCGTGTTCACAGGGATTATGTTGGCATTCGTCAATATCTTGTGAACAGTTACGTCCAGTCCAGCCACTGTTACATGTACAACGGTAGGTTCCAAGGACTATTTTCACAATGACTTGTACCAGGTCTGTGACAGTAATGTCCCTTACACTCATTAATATCATGACAGTCGTTTTCTGTATAACCTGTTTGATTAGAAGCGGAGATAGAGACAAATTCATTGAATTTATCATGTTATTCTGAAAATGCTCTCTCTCTGTCTCTCTCTCTGTCTCTCTCTGCTGAGAGGATTCAAATTCTTACTGTTAACCTCTGCTAGATTAATAAGACATTGCTATATAAAATACCAAGTTCATTACTACAGTCATGATACAAGAGGTCCAATGGGCCTGCATTGTTAACCTTGTATGCAATGTTCATCGAAATAGATGTTCATATCACAAATATATTGACATATACACCATTGTCATTCAAGGTGGGCACATCCAATCGATATTAGCCAAGTTCAACAACAAAGAGCTTCTAATATTCACCTCTAAACTGTGAAAATTATGACCTGGATTTCAAGTAAATTCCATATCTGTTCTCAAAGTTTGTTGACCTTTGAACTAGAAAAACTTTTAAATCAAATATCATACTTCTCTGACTTTTTGTTTACCAGGAGAAACCCTTTGTATGTTTTAACATAAGTGACCTTTTAATATGGGTCAAGGTAATGTTTTAACAAATGCCAGTCATCATCATAGGAACCTATCAGACAAATACAATACTTCTTCGCCTAGTTAGTCAAAAGAAGTTGTTTAAAAGTTTAAACAAATTCGACCCCTGTGTGACATTGAGTAGTGGTCAAGGTCATTTCTTTTCCCAAACGTTTTCAGGTTTAAACCTAGAAACATATCAGGAAATACCATGCTTTTGAATCGATTGGTTAGAATACAAATTTGACCTTTGTCAATAAGAGTCAAATATAATCGGGTTTTATCTTAGAAACCTATCACCCAAAAACATGGTTCTGCGTTTTTTTGATTATTCAGAAAAAAGTGGTAAAAACGTTTGCTCCTGTGACCTTGAACATTCATCAAAGTGATTTATCTTTCGCAAAAATTGTCGGGCGTAATCCTATGTCAAAACAGCCTAATTCCATGCCTCTAGGCATTTTACATGTCCCTGGATAGGCTGTCTGAGTTATCATACAGATACCTGACATGTCCCTGGATAGGCAGTCGGGCGTAATCCTATGTCAAAACAGCCTAATTCCATGCCTCTAGGCATTTTACATGTCCCTGGATAGGCAGTCGGGCGTAATCCTATGTCAAAACAGCCTAATTCCATGCCTCTAGGCATTTTAGTTCCAGAACAGAAGTCGAATAAGGCTTCTGAAAAACTTGAACCCTGTGAACTTGAACATATATCATTTTTGCGTCATTTCTTTTCACAAATTTTGCTAGGCTTGGAACATACCAGCAAAATATCATACCTTTATGCCTTTAAGTACACGAGAAAAAGTCAATAAAATGTTTTGACAAATTTGACCCCTGTGACCTTGAATATAAAGTCAAGGTCATTTCTTCTTTAAACTTTGTCGGATTTTCTCTTAGGAACATACCAACCAATATCAAAACATTTGGTCCATTGGTTATTGAGTAGAAGTTGCTTAAAGGAAAAATTGACGCCGAACAACATGTCATGGCATAAGCTCACTTGGTGGTGAGATAAAAATGAATGCTATAGCAGTACTGTCCCTTCTGATGACTTTGATGATTGGACTAAACGTGTGTTTTATTCGTTACGCTCTGATTCTAGTTAAAGGCATGATGTTTATAATATACCTAGAATTGAACCATTGGATATTATTTAATCTAGCTGTTGTTTTACTACCACTAAATAATAGAATTAGTTCTAACTTGATGATGATTCTATAGCATGTAATATATACTACAGAACAAAGTCAACCCACCTGGAATAAAAACTTTAAAACAATATAAATTCCTGAACAAAACATCAGTATTTTAGACAAAGAAAGGAGCGGATCCCGTGTAAGATACTCATTATATTCGCAGGGTTTATGTTTCGATCACGTGTCAGGAACTCACCAGATTGACAAATCGTAGAACCAGTGTCTGGGTCACATGACTGGTTTATCTTGGCGACACAACGTGTGTCGCAGTTCCTCCCGTAGTTATTGGCGCCACACCAAACCAACGCATGCAGATGCAAACTTCAACAACAAAGTTTGGTTTTATTGATTAGCTAGAGCACAGTATAAAATGCGGTTCATTGTATATATATAATATACACACAAATACTTATCAGTAGTACTTATACAGGTTACATTCCAGGTAAGGTCGACGAAGTACACAACTATGTTTTATTGCATTTTTTATTGTATTTTGTACCATATTGGAAGTAAATGTAATTTGTTTTGATAGAAATAACATCTTATCAATAAACAAGAAATACCTATACAATAATTATGACAGTGCACCATGAATTATATTACTAGAGTACAAAGTATTAGAAGGGTCCCTAGTTAGGCTGTCCGATTTATCGTACTGATACCTGACATGTCCCTGGATAGGCTGTCCGAGTTACCATACTGATACCTGATATGTACCTGGATAGGCTGTCCGAGTTATCATACTGATACCTGACATGTCGCTGGATAGCCTGTCCGAGTTATCATACTGATACCTGACATGTCCCTGGATAGACTGTCCGAGTTATCGTACTGATACCTGACATGTCCCTGGATAGGCTGTCCGAGTTATCGTACTGATACCTGACATGTCCCTGGATAGGCTGTCCGAGTTATCGTACTGATACCTGACATGTCCCTGGATAGGCTGTCCGAGTTATCGTACTGATACCTGACATGTCCCTGGATAGGCTGTCCGAGTTATTGTACTGATACCTGACATGTCCCTGGATAGGCTGTCCGAGTTATCGTACTGATACCTGACATGTCCCTGGATAGGCTGTCCGAGTTATCATACTGATACCTGACATGTCCCTGGATAGGCTGTCCGAATTATCATACTGATACCGGACATGTCCCTGGATAGATTGTCCGAGTTATCGTACTGATACCTGACATGTCCCTGGATAGGCTGTCCGAGTTATCGTACTGATACCTGACATGTCCCTGGATAGGCTGTCCGAGTTATCGTACTGATACCTGACATGTCCCTGGATAGGCTGTCCGAGTTATCGTACTGATACCTGACATGTCCCTGGATAGATTGTCCGAGTTATCGTACTGATACCTGACATGTCCCTGGATAGGCTGTCCGAGTTATCATACTGATACCTGACATGTCGCTGGATAGACTGTCCGAGTTATCATACTGATACCTGACATGTCGCTGGATAGACTGTCCGAGTTATCATACTGATACCTGACATGTCCCTGGATAGGCTGTCCGAGTTATCATACAGATACCTGATATGTCCCTGGATAGGCTGTCCGAGTTATCGTACTGATACCTGACATGTCCCTGGATAGGCTGTCCGAGTTATCGTACTGATACCTGACATGTCCCTGGATAGGCTGTCCGAGTTATCGTAATGATACCTGACATGTCCCTGGATAGGCTGTCCGAGTTATCATACTGATACCTGACATGTCCCTGGATAGGCTGTCCGAGTTATCGTACTGATACCTGACATGTCCCTGAATAGGCTGTCCGAGTTATCGTACTGATACCTGACATGTCCCTGGATAGGCTGTCCGAGTTATCGTACTGATACCTAACATGTCCCTGGATAGCCTGTCCGAGTTATCATACTGATACCGGACATGTTCCTGGATAGGCTGTCCGAGTTATCGTACTGATACCTGACATGTCCTTGGATAGGCTGTCCGAGTTATCACGGCCTGTCGTAGGGAGGAAGAGCTCAGTGATGATTTTCCAAATATTGTGAGTTCTAATGGACACTCTTACACGGTACTTGGTAATGCTGACGCACAAAGTTCAGGGAGTATACATATAGACTCAAATTCTGGATTGTTGGTATATAATACAAGAAAAGAAGACAACAACATGTATTCGATGGACAGTGTGAACTCTACTCAACAGGTAAATACCAACCCTGATAGTTCAGACCCTATGTATCACTCACCTATACCAAACCAGCAAACCATAGCTCGCCTGGATGATGAATTATTTAACCTTCCAAGAGACCAATATGTTGATCAACTCCTGACGATTGCGGGAGAAAATGCTAAAACAATAGCATGGTACAGACATATACTCCATCAACGAGCTGAACAAAGTGTGGCTAATTATCCAAAAGGTAAACTCGCTGAAAGAAAAACGACCAATGTGTCCTCAGATGCGTACAAATATGCAAGAGACTGTCACATCATAGTATCATGCATAGCTGGTGATGATGACGAAATACACAAAGTTTTCAGCAGATCATCTATGAAAAATTATTCCGATGAAAATACTCTCCCAAAAGAAGTATTGCGACAACAAGAAACGCAGAGAGAACAGGATTCGAACACAAGAGGTAACGCCAACATCCAAGATAAGGTAAATATTCACATGTTAATGGAACGGTTGGGTGAAGTGGAACTGAACCTCAAAGACAGAATTAAATCTGAAAACAAAATGATCAAAGAATTAGAAGAAATGAAAGCCGAAAACAGTCGGTTAGGCAATGTGATTGTTAGTATAAAAAATGACATTGCAAAGATGTTTAAAGAACAAACTTTGCCTTCCCCAACGTTTGCAGAGATTGTAGCTAAAACTCCTCCATCTGTAAGCGCGAAATCGCCGGCAGCAAATTGTGTACAGCACGTGATCACTCAACCGGACACACCGGTACCGTTACTCGACCAGGTATCAGGTACAGGTACGAACAACTCACCTGCACGTGACCCATTCATACCAACACAGGTGTCCGGAACACCTGAGGCTCGAGTAAATAATAGCCCAGTCGTGATCGTGAACAGTCCTGTTAAACGTCAGGCACGGAATTCAAACTACATGCATAAACGCAAAAACCACGGCGGTCCTCCAACTGATGTGTTCGTTGGTGTTAAAAGGGAACGCACCGTTCGGTATTTCGTAACGGGAATTGGTAAAGAGTCCACAAAATCTGGAATACTAAATTATATTACAAAGAAAGGCGTCCGGGTGACGGACTTAGT